TGTATGGTAAAAATACTAAGTTGATTATTTATTAGACACATACACAACTACATAACAACATAGGCCCAAAACCAGGTGGGTGTGTAAGATATATGTATTGTGTGCGCAACTTGGTATAAATTATGGCGCCAGCTATATTATTGTGGGGAATTTTCGACACTTGTTACAAAAAAGATACATATCTAAGCTGAAGAGACCGCAAATGTTGTTGCAATACTCAAACATACAAATAAAATTAAAGCTCAACGCGAAAAGCTTATTTATTATTCTTAACCCACAAGAACAGATAAAAAGTCAATACAATTGTAAAGGGTTTCTAAATTTGTTCAAATGTCACCTAATCTCGATAAGAAATCGAGATAGGGTCAAAAACTACTTACCAGTATATAGCTGACACGGAAACAAGTATTTATTTATAGACATTGCAACAGCCTTACACTCATATATTTAATACTCGATGTTTAAAATTTCTGATTACAGCATGTTGATTAAACTCTATTATTAAACGAAAATAGCACAAAAAACTTTACTTATTGGTTGAATAAAATGTAAGGAGAAGCAAAGATCAGAGGAATGCGTGAATTTGTGATAAAGGTCGGAGGAATAGATTCGGCTATAGATTGTCAGCGTAACCCAAATTCGAAATTTCTTGGACTATGTATGTTGTACCCAAGCTATAATACCCTTCACAAATAAAAAAGTTTGTACGGCAGTTATATATTATAATGGTCCGATCTCAACAATTTGTTCGCGAATGGTATTGTTTTCTTAAACAATATGTCGAATTTCGTGAAGATATTTTGTCAAAGACAAAAAGTTACCATACAAGAATTTAATTTTGATCATTCATGATATTGGCGGTTCGAAAAATGATCAACTTCTTGGGGAGAAAAAAACGTGTTCAAAATTTCAGATCGATAACTCAAAATCTGTGGGACTATTTTGCGTATACACAGGCAGACAGACAGACTGACAGACCGACAGACAATGGCTAAATAACCTCAGTTCGTCGCGGGAATCATTCATATATATGAACATACACATGTGTACTTTAGACAGTCTCCGACTTTTCCTTCTGGGTGTAACAAACTTCGTAGGAAGCTTTATATACCCTGTTCAGGGTATAACAGCTTGTACTTAAACAGCCACAAACCATTTTTTAACCAGCTCAACAAGTCTCAACAAGCAAATTGAATTATGACTCTGACAAATTTCACTTAGTATAATTGAGTGAAGAAATTTAAAAGACAAACGTGATTGTAAAAGATCAACAAGCAAAGTTTATCGCACAGCAATAAATGAGCAACATGAAATATCAAACGAAAACGCATGACAATTTACGTACAAAAAGTAAAAGAATGTATTGTATAAGAGATTACTAACCAATCTTGGTTGCAAATAAAAAAAATAGAAATAAAACATCTTATCGAGCGACATCGCATCATTCATGAAAAAGGGGGAAAAAAAACAATTGGACGATTAAGGCGTGTAATATTATGACTTTGGCACATGCTATACGACACATAAAAGAAATGAAAATATGACGAGACGTGAGCAAATTATAGATACTCAAGCACTCAAAACAAATCGGCATTTAATGTCAGCGGCAACGTTGAACCGCTGTCTAAGGCAACACCACTATCCTCCTCCAAAACAATCCAAGTCATCATCAGCGTTGTCATCGCCAACTGATCTCCACTGTCAACGTGTCAACGGTGGCGAGCACTTACTCAATGTAAATATTGAATAAATAAATGAACCTAGAAACTAATAAAAAATCAAACAAAAATGCCAAATTTAGAAATGCAAACAAAAGATGCAAACAGCGCTGATGGCATTGAAGTGCTGAAGCTGATTTTACTAAATGGTAAATCTATGTATATTTACACAACTACGATTGGTGTAGATGGAGTGGTTCACAGTTGAACCAACAAAAAGTGGCAACTACTTCAGTAAAATTAAGTGACAGTTCAAGGAATCCGTTGAAATTTCTAACAGAAATGCTATTAAATATTATTTGCATATCAGCAGCAGTTACAATAAAGATATGGAAAGTAATTTTTTTGAACAATAATCTGTTTTAATCAATAAATCACAAACTAAACTACTTTTATAGACCAAAAAGTTTTTCATAAGTTTTGTCAATATTATGTAAAACAACTGCAGAAATATATTTTCATTAGCAGCTAAGTAATTCAAAACAAATTTAAAACATCTGCATTCAGTAAATTTGCTCTGAAATTCGTTTCAAAAGGCTTTTGTATTTTTTTATGTGGCTTTCACAAGTGTGTTTCATTACTTCATTTCAATTAACACTGGTCTATGCACAAAAATACCATTTTACTCCATAAACATATGTTATATTATATGATACAAGCCCATAAGCACACAAATTTATTATATTATATATTTGTAAATAGATTAAAGATTCTAGTACTAGTAAAAAGAAATCGACTATTTTGCCAAAATATAGCTTTAGTAATCTGTACCCTGTACGTTTTATAAGTGCGGCTTATATGTTGTTATATATGGCGTTAGAAAGATAATATTTCGTACTAAAAAACAGAAAATTTTGTGAATGCTTGAATATGAAGAAAGGTCACTTACGACAACGGCAAGTGAAAACGGACGAACGAACCAAGCCAGGATTCATGGTCAGGAGGGTTTTGCTATATGTTTGGCAGTAAAAACATTGTGTTTCAACAGGACAACTGTAGACCACACACATCCATATTGACTCGTCAGAATCTTTGGGAGCTTGATTGGGAGATACATATGAATTCACCTACATACATATGTACATATGAAGTGATTACTACTAGGTGTTTCAGTCTATGACGAATGATTTGGCTGCTGAAAACTGGGCTCAAGAAAAGAGACGGCCCAGTTTTTTGCTAATAAGGACAAGGGTTTCTATGAAATGGCATTATGAAATTAGTTTCAAAATGTCAACAAGCTCTGGCACAAAACTGTGCACATTTGATCTAAAACGGAAGATTCTGACTGTGCTAAATAAAACCGTCAATTTAATAAAATTATTTTTACTAGACCTAATATAAGAATTATTTAATTATATATACATATATATAATATAATATATACATATACAATATTATAATTTATTTTATTATACTACAACAGTAGGACATATTTTTTTAAGAGCAAAATTAGTAAAAAAACAAAAGAAATATATTTCAAGTTTATAGCAAATTAAATGTTTGTTGGGTAAAATGACATTACTCTGTAAGTATGGAATCGTGATAAGGCACGAAAGCTAAATATAATTTAGAAGAATTTTCAAAAGTTCACTTCTAGGTCTATAACATACTCCATCTTAGTCACTATCAACATTGATTGAACAATTCAAACAATAAAATACGATTTTACTTGTGTTATTACCGAAATGAGGGCAACATATGTTGTGATATGTGAGCAAAATCCCAGTTCATTGGAATGGGTTATGAAAAGAAAATTTATTTGGAGTTGTCCGCATTAGATTGTTGATAGTGATTTTTTGGGAAATATAACGCTGAACATATTTTCATTTAGACAAAAAATCTAAGCAACGATCAGATTCAAACACAAATATAGAGATATTCATACATATGTATACGAATATAATACAAATGAAAAAGCCTTCAAAAAATTTGTTCCAAGTTCAGTGTTCTTTTCCCACTCGCTTACAAAAGCCTATATGTATCTACATAATGTAAACAAATCCACTTCTATAACATGTACAAATATTGTACATATATGCGTATTGATATCAATATATAGTATGATATATACATATGTATATTTATACATACAAGTGCAGAAATATCTGAACACAATATACAAAGAAGCTGAGTCTTGCTGATTGCATTTGCAACACTGTATGAGTTCAATTCAATTTTTTATTAACATAATTGGATTTGCAGACTACTTAAATGCCTTTTAGTTAAATTCTTAAAACTGTAATGTAAATTTTTAGACATTGATAACTCAAACTCAACGTTTAATTTTCATTGAAATTAAATAAAAACCAGAAAAAAACGTTAACTTCGGCTGCACCGTAGCTATAATAACCGTCACAAATAAAAAAAGTTTACATACAACAACTTGATTTATATCGGTCAGTTTACTTCTCAGGTTCCGAACTTTGACATTTCAAAAACCTGTATGAGTGAAAAACAAAATCCTCCACCATAAGTGACAGTCGTGTTTTCTACTCTAACTTCTATAACTGAGAGCCTCTTTTGTATTTACCTCTATAAGCGACAATTTTCCTATGTTTGACTCATTCTTTTTTTTTCAGGAATCAGGAAGTCTTGTAATTCAAAGAAATAACATTTAATTGTATTAACTTATTTGTCATGCTCACTGCAGTTTATAAATATCATGGTCCCTTGAACTCTCTCTTAACCAGGTTTGGCTGTATATGTATGAATAAAGTATTTAAAAAAATTAAATCCGTTTTGATGAATCTTCATAATACATTTTATTTCTACTTTTTTCGTGTCATCAGTTGAAAGGTAAGCAGACAAAAATCCACTCTATATCTGAAATACACACTGGTTTGGACCCTTACTTGAAAGAAGCTTTACGAAAGTTCAAAGATCCAAAAACTAATTGATATCAGAAAAATGTTCAAGGATTTAATCATTGACTTTACGAAAGATTTTATCATGTGTGGTACTTTAAAGCGCTCGTGTGAATTGAGCATATATTTAGTTTAATATTATTTGAGCTTGCTGTTGACTGCATAATGCAATATTAAATAAACATTAAGCTCATATTTTTATGTACATATACATAATATATGCATATTAAGTTTAATTAATACGATATGCAGTTACTCATAAATATCTTCTCGTTCATGGCATGCATTTGAATTATATGCGCATTCATATATTATAAAAAAAAATTTTTTAGATATGTTTTATATGTTTGTATGGATTTGAAATTAATTCATTATCGTGCCGTTCAGCTCAGACGCTTGTTGGCGACATTGAACTCACCTGCTTTGTCGGTGATTGGTACTTGAAGAGACTTCGTTTCGCTGCTGGCGTATAGGTGTTCTCATTACGCTCATCACTAACCGCCTTAACGTCCTCGATGGCGGTGCCAAGAAGTTCATTCTTTAATAGACAGGAATATGCTAAGCTATCACGTGCAGATTCACCGCAGTCGCGTTGCTTTTTACTCGTCTGCGGCGAGTTCTCATTCGATTTATTTATGGATGCGAAATTTGTTTGCCAATTGTTGTTGGCCCTGTGGAAGGAAATTTTATTAAAGTCAAAGGTAATTAGAATTATATAAATATTACTTAAATATAAAATATATTGCAAAGCCCTGTAAGACCTAATAAAATAAAAAAAATTAATAATAAAATATTAAATAACTGTCAGTAAATTTCAAATGATTCATTTATAAACCACGAATTGAAAAACGGTAAATCTACTTCCGCTGCACACAAATTGTATTTTCCGTATATACCCATTTTATATTCCCTTGTAGCAAATCATTCTTACTCTACACAAATTACTACTTAAAATATATGTACATGCATTCATATATTATTGTCTTTCATAAAATTCAATAATTTGACCCTATGCCACGCACAGGTGTGATTATTGCACTGCAATACCTCTACACCTTCTTCACCGCATGTGTGCTTTCTTCCAAACATTTTTGGTTTTGGATTATTTATTGAAGGTGGAAGTACAATGTATCAAATAAGCTTGTGCCCACACGTTTTGAATTCAAAATTAGCTGACGATTTAATTTAAAATATTTACCGAAAGGTGAATGGGAAGGTGAATGGACAAAAAAAGTTATATGAATTTAATATATTTAAGCGTGCATGTTTTCATGTGTGCAGTCAGTGCTGTGTTGGTTTGGCGTAAAAACGCGATTCAGTCGTATTAACATTGCAAATGAAAAAATTGGCCCGGCTTAGCAAGAGAAAAGCTATTGTAATTATGCTCAAACCAACCAATGCGATATTTTCTTCATATTTCAGTTTTATAAATAATAGATGGTAAGTGCATTAAATATATTTTATTTGTATATAATTCTTATAAGTTAAATTGAGTCAGCAGTTAAATGATTAAATAAGAATCAGTGGCATTGCAGTTTTTTGTTATTTCTTTTCCCACTTCACATTATTCGCGTTCCGCATTGCACGTTTTGCATGTTGTAGCAAAATTTTTAGCATTTGTTGGCAATAAATGTGTACCTATGTTGGCATAAAATATTAAAATTATTAAAAGGCTAATAAATATGTGCAGTGCTTGACTCAAATTTACCTTGCAATTACCAAGGCAATGTGCATTTGATTTTAATTAAAATCTTTGTCACATTTATTTCAAATGAAATAGAACTGCTGGGTATGCATATCAAATTTCTGTAGTTCATTTATTTATTATTTTTAATAAAATTAATAGAAATAAAAACGGTAACAGTAGCACAAAAAACCATGGTTTCGTCATCTAACGGTTAGGTGGAGCGCCATAAAATAATTGAGATAACTATAACGGGTGGTTGAAAAGTTTCTGCTCTCACCAAGAGCTAGCATTACTAACTCAAATTTTTTTTCTCAAGCTGGTACATCTGTCGTGAGAACACATGCTAAATCAATTAATTATTTGTTTACAAGCCATTTGAAGTAGACGTGTCAAAGTATTTTTTTAATATGGAAAAAATTGAATATCGCGTAGTGATTAGATTCTTTGTTTTGAAAGGTTTAAAAGCAAAGGAAATTTATGAACAATTGTTAGAAGTGTATAAGAAGTCCTCACCTTCAAAATGCACCGTTGTTGGGCTGGTGAATTAAAACGTGGTCGTACTAGGCTTGATGACGATCAACGCCAGAAATTATTGAGCAAGTTCATAATATTGTTAGTGAAGATCCAAGTTTGACTGAGCGTGAAATTTCTAACGCCATTGGCATCCAAGACGAATGAGTACGTCATATTTTACAAGGAGAATTATTTATGAAAAAGCTGTTTGGAAAGTGAGTGCCGCACACGTTAACAATTTAACGAAACTGGATCGAAACCAATTTCTCAGCATAATTTGGAGCGTTTCATGCAGAATAAAACTGCGATTTCTTGCGTCGTTTTATAACTATGGATGAGAATTGGATCTACCACCATGATCCTAAATTGAAACAAGAACGTTTACAGTGGACTGAAGCTGGTTGTTCAGCTCTAAAGCAAGGCAAAACAATCAACTTTGAATATTATTGCCGCAAAATTCAATGAATTAAAGTACGAATTGCTTGAGCATCTACCGTATTCACCAGATTTGGCAACGTGTGACGTTTTTTAAGTAAATGGTCATAGTTCAAATCCTTACATTAAGCTGGTACAGAGTACTGACAAAAAGTTTTTTCTCCTTTTTTTATGGTAATCACTACACTTTTTCATTTGCAATTACTCTATTTATCTAAGGTACAAATCACCTGGCGATAGTCTAATTTTCTAAAACTAAAAAATTTTCTGGACTAAACTATTAGGTATCAATACGTGATATATAGTATATATAACCCCTATAACTCTTGAGGACTTGTGGTAAAATTTTAGCTAAGAGCCGAAAACAGTTATTGTCTAACACATATTATGACAAAATATGTTTAATTGCATATTTTTTTTGGAAACTCATAACAAATCATATAGGAACATGCTTTGCTTCATTCTGTTGCGGTCATATTGAGCAACTGAAAAACTTCCGGGTGGATCGCTGAAGCGTAGATTTCCTGCTTATAAGCATGGTAGCCAAGTGTTTGTCTGTATGTAATTCGTTGTAATTGTATACTTGTAAAAGCAGTTAGCAGTTAAATTTCTACAGACCCGTCAGCCAAAGCAGTCAGTGGTTAATGACGAAAACAGTTAAAATTGCTCGACCAACAGCAATATGACGATGTGAAAAAGTGGAAAATGTGCATGTGAGCAACGAACCGGTAAGCCTTGTTAATACCACGGCATTCTATATAAACTCTACTTATGCACGCTTGTATGTACTACAAATTTATATAGACATATAAACATTTGTATGTACATATGTATGCGTATTTGTTCTGGGATGTAGCACAGAAAAGTAGAAAATGAAAATAGTAAACGGGGAAATTAAATTTCTCAACACTTTATTGTGTTTACTCTTTGAAACTTTACAAGATCGTTGAACCTGACGCAGTTGTGCTACTTCATAAAGTAACAAGTCACTATGAATGCGCATGGGTGTGTAATTCGAAACAGAACGATAGACGGATATGAATTTACCACAAATGGGAAATTGAATTTGTGTTTGGTAAATCAATCGCCCATTAAACTTTGGTTTTCCTGAGGCCACAAGAACTAGTGTTTAAAGCAATGTGTATACTCTGGTAGGAATTTTCCGCGCATTTATGTAAAATTTATTGAAAAAGAAAACCTAGTGTTAACACTGTCAAGCAAAGCTTTTACGAAAGCGCCAATAAAGTGATATTTTAGTTTTTAGTACTACATAAGCTTCTCATTATATTCGGAATTCTATGCCTAATTTGCAGTTTTCATAATGTCAAATTCAATGACAGTTATAGTTAAATAAAATAAACCAGTTGCTATTTAATTTTTATAGAAATTTATGTTGACAACCTAGTGAAAAAAATCAAATTTGTGCTTGTCAATCTAATTGGTATGGCACATCAGCCCAATTGAAATTGATTATAGCTATTATAATAATTTTTATCGGTGTAGTGGAAACACATAAATATCGAAATTGTACTATTTTCAATGTTGGTGAATTTTTCGTGATTGAATTTTAAGGATTACAATAAAGTTGGGTTCAAAGTATTAGTCTACAAGAGTACATATATTTCATCGGTATTATGTAAATGCGCAAAAGAGTAAAAACAATTTCAAACGTTTGTTTAAAATTGATTTTTAAATGGATAAGGTTTATATTACCTTTTATTTGATTATCTAATTCAACCCGATATTTACTATGTACATAAGTCTAAAATTGAATTACATTGAGATTGAGAACTATTCGTAAGCTGTGATTTCCAAGTCAATCTTTAGGAGAGTAATTTCTTTGAAATGGATTCTCAAATGTATGTAATACAGGGTGGCGCACGAATCGTGCTACAAAAACAAACCGTAATAATTTTTTTTCTGTGTGAGTACTCGATTTTTTTTTTATTTGGCAGATTAGTATTTAAGTTTTTTAAAAATGAATGCTTGGGATACCGAAAAGAGGGTTTGAATAGTGCTGCGGTATCATGCTTTGCAGTCCATCATTTCCTTACAAAGGGAATTCGGACGGGATTTTGGCGGCAATCCCCCGAGTAGATGAACCATTATGAGGTTGGTAAGCATATTTGCCGAATCTGGAATTATTGCAAAGAGACCGTACCATCGAGACTGTTTCGCTACAAAGTTCAAATAACAGGCCGGTTAAACCCTCTAGATTAGCCTATTCGCCTGGAATTTTGCCAAAAAATGATTGAAATGGCCGAAGAAGGCAATAACTTGATAAATTGCTTGTTTATGTCTGATGACACCCATTTTGATCTAAACGGAAATGTAAACAAGCAAAATTGCCGTATATGGAGAGAATCAAATTCAGAAATAATCCACGAGACGGCACTTCACCCAGAACGAGTCACCGTGTGTGGCGCAGTTTCATCAAGGAGTATTATCGGGTCATACTTCTTTGAAGAAAACGAAAATTTGAATACAAATTAATGTCAAGAAGTGGATTAACTTTCCGCTGGCTCCCAAGGTCACCTGACCTTATTGCACCAGACTTTTTTTATGGTGTTATGTCAAGCAAGGTGTACAAAACAAAACCCAGAAATTTGACTGAACTAAGGCAGTCCATTAAATCGATAATTGAGGCAATCCCGACTTCAACCCTTCAGGCCGCAATGAGTAATTTTCATATTAGGTGTCGCATATGCGTGGCTGAGCATGGAGGTTATTTACGGTCCATAATTTTTAAAAATAATTATTTATATAAAATCAAATAGAATTTGCTATTCAATAAAAAAAATTAAATGTAATGCATTGATTAAAAAAAAATTATTACGGTTTGTTTTTGTAGCACGATTCGTGCGCCATCCTCAAACCTCTTAGTTTGCAGTATTGACCTATTAGCCCACTTATGTATCTCACTAAACTACAAGTAAGTGTTTTCAACAAATCCTTACGTTTATCACTTCCAAAATCGAAATATTTGCCTCGAATTTTAAAACTGAGATAATTGGAAAAAAAGTTTCTAAAAAGGTAAACATACAGGGGCAAACATTTGGTTTCTCGAAAAAATTAAAAAATTTATTTTGAAAAACACTACTCGATTTTTAAGAATTTGCTATCGTTGTGTATGTGATTAATTAATTTTTTTATTACTTAAATACCTTGCGCTTAAAACTTTTTGTCCTATATTACAAGTTACAGTATTTATAAAGGCCAACAGTTGTCCTCTCATACGTAATTTATTTAAAAATGGCGATTACACGAGCATATCGAATGTGAACTTAAACTGAAAGCGTATTCTATATCAAATCTCAACTACTAATCTTAAAATTTGTTTATCAGCCTGATTAGGAAGTTACAAAAATAATATATATACAATTTCGACAGTGTCTCTCAACTGAAACAAGTAGCATCTACTTTCCGAAATATTAAAAAATACACCTAATTCGGTCTTTTCTTACATGGTTTTGATTTAACATGGTTTGATAAGAAATCTTTTTTAATTTTTTACAAGATTTTACACCAGTTAGCACGATTCAAAATTTTTGGGCTTAAATTTTTTTGTCAAATTTTGTTCATATCACAAATTTAGAGGGAGTTCTTTTTCTTTAAATAATTAAATTATTGTTTACAATCAAAACAATTTATTAATGAAATTCACAAGAGAATAAGCCAGCCATCTGTAAAAGTTAGATTAATTTGGTTGGTACATTGCTTAGCTTAACATTGGTATAACCAATTAGAATTATTTTAAAATTTATGTACTTGAGGCCATTTGTAGTGGAACACTCACCTGCATGGTATGAATCTGTCGAGCGATGTTGATGTGGAGGCTGCTTCAAAGGAGTTGAAAAGATTTCGAGCGACCGGACTGCAATGTTTTAGTATACGTTTCTCATAATCAGGACTGAACATTTTCCAAAATTATATATTTTAAGTTTCTTTGTGATTTATATAGTTGTCAAAAGGAATGTTTAAAAAGTTTTTGCGAAATATACGTACATATATACAGATCTACATATATGTGTATTTATTAAACCACAATAAATTCCAATAAACTTCAAGTTGAAATATATAAATATATAAGTTTATATATAGTACATATGTATTTGTAGTCAAATCACACACATGAAATATATTTCGATTTCGATGACGCAGCCAGAAGACTTGTTATGCGTGAGATCGATCTGCAATGAAAGAAATTCAAAATTTAGATATTTTCGACATATTAATCATTAATTTAGAAACTACTTCATGCATATGCATGTAAATTATAGAAAATGGTTATTAGAATTAACGGCAGGTAAATCAATTTATCAAAGTCACAAATTTAAGGCAGCTTAAATATATTTGTTCAGCCACGAGGTCTACATGTTGTTTGAAGTGTTTTTATGTTACAGAAGTTATAATGACAGCACGTTCACCACGTTTTCTTCGGCTCTGGTGCGAGTAGGCGACACCTTACGTGCAAGAAAGAAAATATCGAAAAGCTACTAATATGTACTTATGTATGTATATAAGTAAGTGCGCACATATTTACGCTGGCTTGCCACGAGTTTTGTACGAATATAAATCTATGTACAAGTAGATATGTATGTATGTAGCTGAGACAGCGAGAGCGAACCACGTACAGAACAAACTCTACTTTGACAATCATTCAAGATCACTCGTGGTCACACTAATCACAGCACTTTAATTCGTAGTGAGAATTGTAGAAATCATGTGTTGAATTTTTAATTATACAAAAAGCTTGCACTCATGTTTTATTTTAGTCTTAGACAATTTACAGCTAAGGAAGAATGTGCTCAATTACCATACATACATGCTTCACAGCTCTACAGAGTGGCTTTTGAAACAGTGGCTTTTTAACGAATCATGCAAATGGAGCACATAACTTTCTTACTTTTTTAACAGTTATAATTAGAGTTTATAATTTGTTGTTAACTTATAGCAACAACAAAAAATACTGCCATGTCTTGCTATAAATATTTCATAATAAAGGTTTGTAATTCTAAGTCAAAACCTAAGATTTTATCTGAAATAAAGCAAGTTAATCAAAAATTAACCTCATTCAAAAACAAAAAAAATACTAAAATATACTATATATTTTTAGTAGCTGTCCGATTTTTAGGGGACAAACTTTAATTCGATTTTTATTTAATTGGGTTCCCGAATGATCTTATATTTTGAATAAATTGTCATACTCATTAAACGTGCGTCTTAGCTGTCAAAACTATTTTTTAGATAAAGGAAAATGACAATTTTAATATTTTAAGTTTTTATGAAATACTATTCGATCAATCAGATTGGTATAAAATTTTTAAAGTTCGTGTGCAGTTTGATCTCCATATGTTAATAAGTGTGTGTTTGGCAGGTAATAGTTTACGACGCGAAAAATTTGTCTAGCGATTTTTACCATGAAACATATAAAATTAAACAACGAGTTTGATTGAAATTTTGTGTTCCCAATGGAATCACGGCTACACAATCGGGGAAAATGTTGCAGAAGTGTTTTAGGAAGTCTACTTTATAACGAACATACATAAGTATTTAAATGGCACGAAGCATACAGTTAAAGTCATGAAGTCATCGGAAACTTGCCATCATGTTAGTTGGCTGGACGACTCTGTTAATTATACCGAAAAAGTTAAAGAAACAGTGCTTGAAAATCATGTTGGCATTAGAGAGATGGCAGAGGATCTCAACATCTCTTATGATACGACTCAACACATTTTGGTAAATGTTTTGTGTATGAAGCGTGTCAGTCCTAGACTCGTACCAAAAAGATCTGAATCTTTTGCGAAAACGATGTAGAGTAGACTAACATTATCTGAAGACCTTACATTCATCACACTTGAGTCTAACAATCTAGCGAATGGCGCTCCAAAAAAAAAACAAAATTTGCTGAAGGCATTGCCATCCAAACTGAAGCCTACAAGTATAACAAGTGTATGGAAAATTGGATATAATGTTGGCATGCTGGCATGGGATCAGAAGCCTTTTGTGAATGACATAATTAAGATTTGTATTAAAGTACGATACAAAAATATAAAATTAAAATACAGAACAACGGTGGTAATATTTTAATTAATAATGCCCAATACCCTATTAATTGACTTGAAAATTTAACAGTATTTTTCAAACAAGATTATCTATAGAAATAACTAAAGATTTTTGGGGAATTTTTCCAGAGTCAAAACTGTAGAACAATTATTGGACGTGGAGCACTGCAGTTATGACTGCCTTACAGTCAGCCAATTAAGGCGTCACTCTATACAAATTTTATTATGTATGTAGATTCATGATTTACTGGAAAATACGCTTTTAGAAGCTTTAGCTTAAGATTGGTGAATGTTTTTAAAATAATTTCAAATTTAATAGAATTATTCTGCATTTTTATTAAAAAACTCACAATTTAATGTTTTCAAAATAAAGTGTGCATTGATGAATATCTTTTGCTCATACATATGTACACTTATTGTGGTCGCATGAATATACAAACATCCATATTTGAGGGCCTCACCTAATGTAACAGCCTAAAGAAGTCGATTTTTGCAAATAAAAAAGCAAAACTACTTTTTCAACGGTTTTAAATATTTTAAGAATACACACTAAAACTTTGCCCCTTAATATTATTCTAAAATCTAAACCGCAACTAATTCGGTCAGTAAATTTATTTTTGAAACCTTATCACAATACGAAACATTTCAGTTCTGTCACTTTTCTCTACTTGTCGCAGTATGTATATAAAATAATTTGCTTTACGTTCATACAAATCAATGCATATACTGATTATCACCCTGAAACAATTCAGCATATTCCAATTACCTAATAACAGGTTACTTTGTTGTGTTCATTGATAATTTAGTTCATCACCACACGCATATAATATATACCACACTAAAAGCTAACTGATAAGGTTTGTCATATCTTTGAGAACGTATTCAACTTACCTTCATAGGCTTACAAAGTTATGAGAATTATTATACTGACAGAAGAATTTTATTTTTTTTGTTAATATCTGTGTGAATAACGTGACTTTAGAAAATGAGAAAAATTTTTGAACTGTTTTAACAAAAGCTTTGCCGTTGCACCGGCATTAAGTAAAATTTAAACAAACACACTTACCTATTATTACTACAAGTATTTTTTAGAGGTTATGACGAAACATAAATAATGTCGGATGGTGTTTTTCACTGTATTTGAGAATTCTCACCGCCGTGCTACTTTGTCTTTTATTGACAACTGAAGTGAAAATTAGTCAGTAGACTGTTATAACTTTTACAAACCTGCATACATATCTATGTATATGTACAAGTAATACATGTGATAACTCGCTACATAAGCGCATTGTTATAATCAACTATGTACATATTATATTCATACCTATTTGTTTTATAAATGGGGGCGTTTACTTATCTACTGCAATTTATGGTCTGCTGTACATTGTGGTTTACATAGTTTACACTTGTTTATACAGACTTATGTAGCTGCATACAAAATATATTCACACTTGACTACATACAAATGATACATATGTACATATGTATATACTTGCAAAGTGTCTGTATAAATATTCAAACAATATGGATATGTCGAGCAGAAAACAACTGCAGCAAACAAAAGCCGCTATCAGTAGTGATGACGTCAAATGGAAAACATTTTCTCAAACAGATGTATGTGTATACATACAGATGTACGTACATACTATACATACATGTGTACTACATATATACATATGTGAACTTATTGCAATATATAAAGTATAGCGTGTGGGCATTCTAATGCATTCGATAACAATGCCAAAAAGTCAAACGATTTTTATAAATGTATGTACATATACATATGTATGTGTGTGGGCATATGTGAGAGTTTTTTATAACATAGATACATTTGTATGTATGTTATGTATATACCTGTATATATATGTAGGTGCATTTTTAATACTTTAAATGCATATGCACGTTTTTTTTGATGTAACTCAACATTTCGGCGTTTGAAATTTGGTAAATAAGAGTAGAACCACATGCATTTACTTAAATGTTTGTATGTAAGTACATTAACATTGTTTATAGCGGCGATGTCATGAAAATGGTAAGTGATAGCAGGTATAGCCATTACTTGGCTTTGGAAGTAATAAATAAGTTAAAACATTATTCGTATTTTAAGCAATCATACAATTGATATTCTTTTATTACTATTATTATTAATATTTATTAGTATAAATAAATACTTTACATTACGTTACTTTATCTAGCTTTTATTATTATTATTATCGCCTTTTTTATAGTAATAAAATAATTATAATAATAATCTATCTTATATAAATATTAGGAGGAGAAAAAAATTAACAAAAATATTTCAATCTAAGCGCAAGATGCAAGGTCAAACATATATGTTCTATTTAAAATACTAATTGATATATGTACATACATACATATGTACATATGCATAAGTATGTACATTAATAAATTATTTAAAAATAATAAAAAAAAAACCTTTGAAAATTAGTTTCCTCGAGCCTAATACATCGTGCTGTATGATTTAACATTTTTAAAATACAACCAGTAAACAGATTTAAAAAAAAAAAAAAACCAAAAAAACGTTAACTTCGGTTGCACCGAAGCTAGAATACGGTTTACAAATATGCAAGTTTTCATACAAAACATATCGATATCTAAAAAACTGAGGGACTAGTTCGTGTATATGCAGACTGACGGACATAGCTAAGTCAACTCAGCTCGTCACGCTGATCATTTACATACAAACATATGTATATATTTTATGTGGTCTTCGACCTTTTGGGTGCTACAAACTTCGTGGAAAACTTAATATACACTGTCCAGGGTATAAAAATTATAAAAATGCAAAATTGTATTTAAATACATGCACGAAATAGAGTGAACAGTTAAACGTACCATATGTTCATACATACATACATAGTTGACAGTCTTTGCCGGATAAAAACCGGGTACGTTCCTGTTACGTAGACCCGACTGTCGTGGGAACGGGTGGTGAATTTTCATGTCTTGTGGTTTTGAGGTTCCATTTTAATCAAACATATAAATTAAGGGGTTAAATTTTTTTAATAGAAATCATTGATTACAGGATAGACTTTATTTCCACCAAATATTCGATGTACTACTTTTTGGCAAATATATTCGTCACATTTAACTATTACATTTGGTAACAATGTTTTTTGTATATGTATACAGTCCCGAGCAAAATAATGACAATTCTGACAATAGTTGAATGTTTAATAAGCAAAATATGCTGAGCCAGCGTATCAGCGATAGCGGCAAACACTTCAATTCCCACAACAGCCGGTTTTACGTTACCGGAATTGAGCCGGATTTTGTCCGGACAGGGGCTGTTATTTCGGCGATCTTACCCTGTTTGGATCGGTAAGTTCTAGGTTAAGTTTGTCGCCTTTGGAGCAACGCCTAGCAGCAGGGTTGCTCCGAATCCTCCTGACCCGTGCTGGCATCGAGTCCAACCCGGGATCCGAGGAAATTTACTGCTGCGTTTTGCGCTAGAAGGCTCCATCCAAACTCAACCTCGGTTAGGTGCAATACATGCAATGGATGGAGCCATCTTAAGACCTGCTCAGGCCTTAAGACACATAGGGAGTATCAATACTGCGACATCTGCCTCAACGGCTGTGCAACCTGCACCATGTTCGCGCACTCCAGTCGAGAGGCCAAGAGAGAACCTCCACGGCCCTAAGGAGCTCACAAAGGCAGCACGACTCCCATTTCGACCCATTCCTACGGACGTCATCGTTGGCGAGAAGGCTAGAAGAATCGTGGAACTGCGCACTAATTTCCCAGCCGAAACGGCTGTACTTAAGTTTAAACTGCACCCTTCGACTGACAATGCCAAACGATGTGTTACCCGACGGCTGCGCAAAATGCCAAAAGACTGCGCACCCCAAAGGCCAAATCGTTCAAATCCATTGGCCTTGACTGAATAAGCATGCTGATGCTAAAACATCTAAGCTCGACGGGAGTAAGCTACCTTACCAAGGTCCTCAACTTATCGATGGCCACTCTTCAAATACCCGATGAGTGGAAAGTCGGAAGAGTGGTCCCACTACTGAAGCCTGGAAAACCCGCAAACAATGGGGAGTCTTATCGTCCGATAACTCTCCTTTCCCCAGTAGTGAAGACACTTGAGGCCTTGTTACTCCCGACGTTCACTCACCACCTGAGTCTAGCAGAACATCAGCATTGCTTCTGAAAAGTGCACAGCACTTAGCGTCATAAACGCCCAGATAGTTCATGGCCTAAACCAGAAGCCACCCTACGATCCTCGTAGCGTTGGACTTGTCGAAAGCCTTCGACGCAGTCAACCACACAACGCTACTTGAGGACATCGAACGATCTACGCTCCCTCCAGGGCTGAAGCGGTGGACTATGAACTACCTGAGCGGTCGGCATTCATCCGTGCTGTTTCGAGGTCAAAACTCCAAACTGAGAAGAATTAAACAGGGGGTTCCGCAGGGTAGTGTCCTCTCCCCTCTACTGTTTAACTTCTACATCTCGAAACTCCCCCAACCACCAGAGGGAATTTCCATGACCTCGTACGCTGATGACTGTACGATATTGACGTCGGGTAATAGAATCGATGGCGTATGCTCGAAAGTAAACGGCTATCTCTCCGATTTTTCTCGCTTCTTCTCTGCAAGGAGTCTGACACTCTCCCCCACTAAATCCACAGCGACCATATTTACGAACTGGACGAAGGAGTACAGACTGGATCTAAACATTTCAGTCGATGGTACCAAAATTCCGTCGGTAAAGACCCCTAAAATTTGAGGCGCTACACTAGACAGTCTTTGCTCCTTCACTCCTCACACGACCGCGATAACTGCCACAGTTCTCTTGATGTCCCCAATCGAACACCTACACAGTGATGCCCGTATGCTTCCGGTTAAGGAACATAACGAGCTCCTCTCCAAGCAGTTTCTGCTGGGTTGTTTTCGTAGAAACCGCCCCTGCAGTCATCTGCTTGAAGCGGAGCCGCCTCGTAGGAACATCAAGAGGTCTTCGGACGGAACGAACTTCAGACAAGCACTGACCGCCATTCACAGTGGAGCCATCAACAACTTCACCGACTCCCTCTCAGTGAATGGCGTACTACGAGTCAAACCACCACCCATAGCAGACGTAGAGCTCAAGTTGCCTCGCGAAACCAGAGTGACCCTCGCGCAACTCTATCCAGAATAGACCCCGACATTCAAAACACATGTCCTGCGTGCAATGAGCCTCCGTATGACACTAACCACCTCTTTGCATGCCCAACGAACCCCACTCATCTAACACCCTTTTCCCTATGGTCCGACACCGTCGAAACAGCTCGTTTCCTGGGCCTCCCGTTAGATGACCTCGACGACAACCAATCTGAAACTTATCACCCAAACGGGGATTAGGTAACCGTTACAACAACAACAACACTTCAATACAACATGTGAGATGAACACCGAATATCGATATGATTCCAATAAAAACACTCAATATAAATTAAATTTTAAAAAACCATTTACCATATATCAAAACTAACCTACAGCAATGATAAACAATTCATAGTAAAAATATTTGTATCAATCGTTTACTCCAGTCAACTTGTTTCCAACCCAACAACATTTATTTACTTTACATTACATTACAATTTATAGAAAATGTAAAGAAACATCATCAATATGGCAAACTTTTAACTAATATTAATTTGACAATACATACAAAGGCGAAGGACGATCGAAAGGAAAAACACAAATAAACAAATTTTTTTGTTGCCTTATCGATCCGATTGCTAGGCAAACAACCCTTACCTGAACTCACTTTTTACTTTCAGCCCACCTCTCGCGTTATTTACAACTGCAGCAATAATCTACACATACACCCCCTTTGGTTTAGGTTTGCTTGTGTAATTTTTTACGATTTTCTTACGTTTTATAAACAAACGAGAACAGAGCAGATAGTTCGTTCACTCTATATTTATATACAGTTTTTAATTTATTTTTAACACATTCCTCTGTAAACATACCGTGTGCTTAAACTTCACTGCAGACAAGTCACTTTTTTTGGAAAAAAAAATATGTATGGGTATATATGACACAACTGTGGAAAATCGAGAAAATATCCACCCAAGCACTAGCTTTTCCACGGATACGCGTTCAATTTTCTTCGCTTGGCTTACGTTCGCGACTTTTTATACAATCGGTTCGGTATGAGGATACTGTACGAACTTATGTTTTCACACTAAATAATAAATTAGTCAAACTTCACAAACCGAATTGTTTCCCGTATGTTTATGGTTTTCAAAAAATTTCCAATTGACAAAACCTACGAGACACGAACGAAACGGCAGAAACTTAACAAATGTGTAGAAATTATTGGATTTTTTCTCTTCTTGAACTACTCGCTTGTGCCTGTCAATCATTGACAGTTACGAAATGCTTTTGTGTTGGTGAGATGAGAGCACTTTTTGAAAACTCTTTTAGTACAACTGACATTTAAGCATTCATTGTGAATGCCCACACAGCGTCGCAATATATATGATTCTTTTTTACAAATAATCAAATAATATCTCCAATTAGTCTGTGGTGAATATGTGCAAAGAAATTAATTTGAAATAAATAACTGATCTTGCTTTGACACCAACTTGTATGAGAAATAAATTCAATACTCAAAGGCTATTTTTAACGGACTAAAACTGGTCCAGGTTAATTTCCACAAAAACTGCTATTCTAGATACGTTCGACATTTCAGTTCATTGGCGAATTCTGAAATTTAATAACATACATGTATGTTTTGCGTTGAACAATAAAATAACTAGCTTTGATAGTAAAGTCAACTTGATGTTTTATTTGTAAATGTAAACTGGATAGTAAATACCATAAAAATATTGATTACGTTCTCTTTACAAATAATTTAAGTATCCTTTCGAAGCAATTTTATATAAGTTTTATATTTTGAATATTTACGCATACGTTTTGGAATATATGTATATAATATAAATTGTTTTGGGTTATTATTCGGTTATTTAACCCTTTTAAAGGCCATATACGATCTTTTATACAATACTATATTTTGTATTGTCACAAAACCGATTTCCTTTTTAACAAAATTCAGAAAACTTAAGGGTAATACAAGTTACAATATTTGATAATATTTATCTGACACTTGAGTATTCCCTGATATGTTTTGTAAATCTGCACCGCTGTTGTGCTCATTTGTCAATATAATAGTACATTCGATACTATAACAAATGCGTTCCTTCAAATTTCTAAGCAGCAAAAGACTAATGAAAAACGTCCATGAAGGGAAAATGAGCCTGCTGTGGATTTAGCAAATCTATCAAGTAGCATACTGTTCCAGCTACTCCTTCATATAAGCTATGGGGCCTATCTGGAGTACGCGCACGGTGTTTAAATTCTGAATCAGTTAACAATTCCATAAATTTGATGGCGCGGTAGTAATATTTGTGTTCATTTGTTAGGCGATAGAGTAATAAAAAGACGTATCCGTTTCCAGCGACACCATGACATATGCCAGGCCCCTTACGTAAAAAACCTTTCTTCCAAACCAAATCAGCGCAGCGGCGCAAAGCCTGTAAGTATTTATCCTCCTTAAAAATAAGATATGCTTTAGCAAGTAAATATACTGCTCCTGGCGCGCCATGGCACCAATGTACTAAGCGTTTTTCACGACCACTTTTTAAATCCTCCAATGCGACCGGAAAATTTCCCTCCGAATCTTGAAGCGTTAGAAAGAAATCTATTGAACGTTTTATGTCACGTAATTCTGCACTAGGTGCAGATATTGGGTCTGAACGAAACCACGGGCTATCCAATAGCATATGCAAAATAGCGCACACACCGTGAGCAGCACCTAAATATTCCGTTCCATGGTATTGGTACATTAGAGGCAATGGGGCTTTAGTCTTTTTAGCGTATTCTCTTCCGCTGTTAATTATCATTTGACAAATAGATATTATGTCATCATCAGTAATTTTTTTCTCACAAAGTATATCATTAAGCCAATAACATCCAGACAGAAAACCAGCTCGGCCTACTAGAATTTCATCGCAACCATATTTAGTATGCATAAATTCTTTGCTGGATGGTATGCCGGACTTAAAACTTGTCAAGTCGTCGGACAACTCTTCCATATGTTTTAGATCATGGGAGATTGCTGCGGATACAGCAAAAATCCCAGCATTTCCACACAAAAAAGAATACCTTTCTGCTGAACGTTTTTTGTATCGATCTGCGTTGCATTTAGCATTCCGTATAAAAGTTTCTGCGTGTTCAAGTGCCGGATAAAGATCTTTAGTATTTTCCGATCTTGATAATTTCCAGAACATAAAGGCAATTCCAGCATTTCCTACGTATAAATCTCCTCTATGATCTTCCTCTGCATTGCCTATTTGACAGCATTCCATGATTGCATCTATATATGTGCAAATAAGATTCTTAACGTGTTCGTCATCCAGAACTATAGGTGTACTTTCAGGACTGATATAGTCGGGAAATGGATTTTCCAAAAATCGTTTCTCCATTTTTATCTGTATAAATAAGTTTCAAAACAAAAAATTATATTATATTGATCTGAATATTGCAGCCAGACGCTACACCCAAATTGCGTATGTATGCATAACTATATTCTGAATATATTTTATTTTAATGTTATTTTACTGACAGAAAATTACCTTTTTAAAAATTAAATCTCTTTTTGTAAGTGTCCACAGTAAATATATTTTTTAAGATTATAATTTTTGTTTATAATATTAGCACAATCTGTTTTAAGCCGGTCGGTTGTTTGGTTGGACCACACTTTGATATTCACAATAATATAAAATTGAAACAAATAAATTATTCACAGTTTGTCTCTTATGGCAGGTGGGTTCCTGTATATTAAAAAATTTATTATTGAAATTAGCTTTATCACTTTTCAATTCTTTTAAATACTCAATTCTTCCTCGCGTCGTTTATGTGCAAACAAGAAAATTACATTCTAAATATTTCAGATATAACATAGAGAGTAACAAATATAAATTCTACCGATATATTGGGTTGGCAACTAAGTAATTGCGGATTTCACTCATAGATGGCTTTAGTTGAATTTTTAGGTTTGTTGGCGTAGTCCAAAACATTGTATAAGCCTAGATAAGTAGATTTATACAATGATCCAAATGTAAAACACATTTTGTTATTTGATAGTCGCCAATTCAGCTGTCAATCAGTAAAAAAAAGTTTTTTGATCGGTTGCGTAGTTTTCGTTTGGCGTTTGTTGAAAAATGGAAAATCAAAAGGAACATTTTCGTCATATTTTGCTTTTTTATTTTCGCAAAGGGAAAAACGCATCGCAAGCTCACAAAAAGTTATGTGCTGTTTATGGCAACGAAGCCATTAAAGAACGGCAGTGTCAAAATTGGTTTGCCAAATTTCGTTCTGGTGATTTTTCACTCAAAGATGAAAAGCGCTCTGGTCGTCCAGTTGAAGTTGATGACGACCTAATCAAAGCAATAATCGATTCGGATCGTCACAGTACAACACGTGAGATTGCAGAGAAGCTTCAGGTATCACATACATGCATTGAAAATCACTTAAAACAACTAGGCTATGTTCAAAAACTCGATACATGGGTTCCTCACGAACTGAAAGAAACGGATTTAACGCAACGCATTAACAGCTGCGATTTGCTAAAGAAACGTAATGAAAATTATCCATTTTTAAAACGAATGATAACTGGCGATGTAAAATGGGTTGTTTACAACAATATCGAGCGGAAAAGATCGTGGAGCAGGCCAGGTGAACCAGCTCAAACAACATCAAAAGCTGGTATTCATCAAAAGAAGGTTTTGTTATCAGTTTGGTGGGATTATAAAGGAGTTGTCTACTTTGAACTCTTACCACCCAACCAAACGACCAATTCTGTTGTCTACATTGAACAACTAACGAAATTAAACAATGCAGTTGAAGAAAAGCGGCCCGAATTGATAAATCGAAAAGGTGTTGTATTCCATCATGACAATGCAAGGCCACACACATCTTTGGTCATTCGGCAAAAATTATTGGAGCTTTGTTGGGATGTTTTGCCACATCCACCATATAGTCCTGACCTTGCACCATCGGATTACTTTTTGTTTCGATCCTTACAAAACTCCTTGAATGGTAAAAATTTCAATAATAATGATGATGTCAAATCGTACCTGATTCAGTTTTTTGCTAATAAAAACCAGAAGTTTTATAAACGTGGGATTATGATGCTGCCTGAAATATGGCAAAAGGTCATTGATCAAAATGGACAATACATTCCAGAATAAAGTTATTTAGTTCCATGAAAAAATTGTTTGATTTTTTGAAAAATCCGCTATTAGTTGCCAACCAATATATCTCGAAAAAGATTTTCAAATAATGATAAAAAAAGATGTTCAATAATTATGAAATGTTTTACATATTAACTCAAATACTTATGCCTACATGCAATTACGCTGAAAAAGCAAGATAGTTATTGTATTATATTTTTATATGATTTTCATATATTTCTAAGTTTCCATAAATTTGTATTGAGTTTACTCTTTATTATCATTTTACATAAGAGCAAATATACAAACCGTTTGGCATTGATACTAATCTGTAGATAATATTCTAACTGTGTTTATTGAAAATAATTAACGAAATACATTGCATACTGTTAAAGCGAGCTTTTTAGATTTGGAATCGAGCTTATTACGTTAGGTATTAGTTATAGAGCTTAGCGACGACGATTTCCTCCACCACCCCCTAATATTGTTGCAATTCGAATAAATATATTTATCGTATCCATGTAAATCGACAGACATCTATAAACAATATTGCCTTGATATAAAATCATTTCAATTTATATTTTAAATAATAAATACTTACGCGTTTATAGGATCATATGGCTTTACAAAAATTTGTGGGTGGTTCTCTGCGTATCGCACTATACGTTGTGTGTCATAAAGTAAAAATCCTCCGAAAAGTATTAATCCACCATAAAGGGACATCGATGCCAAACCTAAACCATATATAATACATTTTGTTTCAATAAACTTTTAGATATTTGTACATACCAGCTCCCAAAGCTGTTGTTGGGGGCAACCACATTGAAGCCAGGGATGATGCAAACACCAACCCAAGGCCTACTGCCAAAGGACCACCCATATATAAAAATTTGTCACTCGGTGCACATACTGCTACTGTTGAAAGCCCTCCTACTATGCCGGCGGTGTATAAAGCTGCCCTAGTAAGAATCGGTCCACCAAGGAAACACATTGGTGCAACTACAGCACCTAAAACAGCACAGTGCAAAGCCCAGGCTATTTGTTTCGGGCCAACACCGGGTTGGTATTCGATAGATTGGGTTAGAGCACCAGTACCAATCATAAGAGCAAATGTGCCCAACATGGACTAATTGATTGCGTATTTAAAATTTTCCATTATATATTATGTAACATTTTGAAACTCACCATCCATCCACTCCTTGTCACTAGTGAAAGCAGTCGAGGAGATCGAAAGACAGCTAAGGCCGCCCCTGCAGTTATAGCGCATGACGCACCAAAGTACCCGTAGGTTGCGTGAATTCGATCGCGAACGTACTCCGGCCATAACCTTAAATATATATATATCTATAAATGTATAACCATATATTTATTCCAATTTATATCTTACATTGAGTTAGTGTAAATACTTGGGTCTTTATTTAATCCAAGACCATAGAAACATAATGCTCCAAGTCCTATTGCTGATGCTCCAGCCGCTGCTCCTTTTCCAATTGAGTATGCTAAAAATGTATAAAATACAGTACACAAATTGTTACTAGCGTAAGGGTTTAACATTTTTTTACCATTTTCGGAAGGAGGACCCATAAGCTTTTCCTTTAATGTTGGTGCACGCCCGGTTTCGCTGCGAGTATATGGACCGCGAGTTGGACCCCGAGCATAACTTCTCGATATATTTAAATTATAAGATTTTAAGGAATTTTGTAATCGCAACTCTAGTGGACCACATCTTATTACATTTGAGAGTGCCACTGTTTTCAATCCAGCCCGAACGGGCATAGTAGATAACGCAAAGCGCAACAACATTTTTATCTGATGAAATTGATTTGCTTATGAGGAAATTGAATTCGCAATTCTGTTACAATAATCAGTTCGATGGATTATACAATAACACAGAAAATATTAATAGAATTTTACTATTTGAAGGATGTGAGTATATTACGTTTTATTTGACAAAGCTGTTTAACAAATATTTTTTTAGAATTTTCTCGGTTGTGTCTGATTTTGTTTGGCACAATTTCGTAAATCTTGACAATTCGAGCTATTTAACTAAAGATGATACAATCGATAAATATATCGTTACTAATTTACAATAACGTGACGATTTGGTATATATACATATGTATAAATGAAGGTGTTATTTAAAAAATTTTATATGTTTTTGTTTATACTTTAATTTCATAAAAAATTCATCACATTAAATTATTGAATCTTCAGACATGCAAGAATGAATTAATAGTTATTAATTATTGAACAACTGTTGTGAATGTGACATCGAAAAAGAACAATATTCATTCACAGTCGAAATATTATTAATAAGTTAAAGCATTAATATTGTCATTAGATTGTTTAAAATAATAAAAGATGCAACTAGATGAAAAAGAAACATTAAATTTTCGAAAATGTGGGGAAATCAAAACATCTTGGGTTGAAGGAAAGGAAAGATTTTATTTAATCTGTGATTTCTGCGACTATATTGTTTTGCAATTGGACATTTTTGAAATTCATGTAAATACTAAACATAAAGACGTGCATAAAATAAATTATTCAGAAGTAAGTCCCATAATATTTATGGTACGCCAATATGCAACAAAAAACACTTTTTTAAATAGGAAATTGAAGATCCTTTGGAGGCGCGCTCTTATACTGATGACGAAATATCAATTTCTACAACTGATATTTGTGTGCAAAAAATTCCTATAGAAGGGGACGATTATTTAGAAAGTGATTGTACTGAGTGCACAGTGGAACTCGTAAGTAAAGTAAATTCCGGAATGTACTAAATTAGAGAAAATGTGGAAAAGAACAAAAGAACTTTTGGTAAATTTATAGTTTCGGTCCCCCAACGGAGGCCGCGATTTTTTTTTTAAATCATCTTATTATGACGCAAAGATGACAAATTCGTGAGCAGAAAATCGATTTTTATTCGATAACTCTATTTTATTTTTGAAATTTTCGAAAAACCTTTCTGCGTGCAAAAGAACTACGCACACCCCGGTGTTGGACTGACCAGTTTATTTATTTTGAAGGCCGCCAATGAAATATGGGTGTGCAAAGTAATTTTTAAATTAAACTTTTTTTTCTTAAAATAAAGCGATTAAAAAAAATTAAAACTTTCGCGGTTTCCTTCGTTGGGGGCCCTAAACTATACATATACCGAATTTTTCTGGTTTTTAACATGTTTTTCATAACAATAAACAAAACAAAAAAACATAATCCCACACATTTTATATATCTTACATATTTCGTGACAGGATCAAAATGCAGATACTTTTGATGAAGATAAAAATAAATTATTAACTTCTGCACTAATAGCAGAATATGAGAGGCACCGATTGCTATGGGACAGCAAAGACGCATTAGCCAAAAATCGGAAAAAGCGTGAGGAAGCTTTGAAAGATATTGCGATCAATGTTAATCATGCCTGTCAATCAAACTTTGACTGGAAAATGATAAGTAGCCAAATACGAAAAATGCGATGTGAAATTCGAAGTGCATTGTTAAGCCAACCTTTTTCGGAATCCAAACGAAAAATTCATAATCGGCCTTGGTATTTCGACAAGGTGACATTCTTACATGCCACTATTAAATATAAGAATCGTAGAAAACGAGTAAGCAGCATATGCAAGGAAGAATATTTTGATTTCGTAATCATGATTTGTAATTATATTTTTTTTTTATTTTGCATAGGTACCTAAAATTGTTTCCAATGAAAAGCCGGTGCTACCTTTTTCAGATCTTACCGATGAACAGAACTTGGACCTAATCCAAATATATAGTAGTTTTCCGAACCTTTGGGATGTCCAACATATTAACTATAGGTTTAGGAACCGACGACAGGAATCTATTATGAATATGCAGGATACTCTCAAAGCAAATATAGGTTTAAGTTTTTCGTTGGATGAATTGCAGAAAAGAATATATGGAATACGTCACTCCTGCATACAGGAAAAACGTCGTCAATTGCAATGCGACTTAACAAATGAGCCATTCAAACCAATTTGTAAGTACTATAACAACATTAAATTCTTGGAAGATAACGTCGGACCATTTAAATGTAATGTGTGTGAAGAAATTCTAAATGGGTATGACAGATATCGCATACATTTGTCAGCACATACTGGTTCCATGCCGTTTACATGTCCCATGTGCAATCACGGTTTCTTGACGGTGGGTAATTTTACCGTACACCTGCGGCGACACACACGTGAATTCGAATTCGAATGCGATGTGTGTAAGAAGAGGTATGCGACATCGACAGATTTAAATGTGCATATGAGGAATCACACTGGGGAAAAACCATATTGTTGTGAGGTATGTGGTCAATCATATCGCAGATGGAGTTTCTTCGATACCCATATGCGCCGACATCAGAAACGACCTAATTATAAATGCAACATGTGTTCAAAAACATTCTACGAAAAACGCAAATTAAATGTGCACATGAAGGCACATTTGAATGTTCGCGACAAGATTTGTAATGTTTGTGGGAAAGCTTTCACTTCGACTAAGTACTTACATCAACATAAGCAAATTCACTCAAAGGAAAAGAAATATAAATGTAAAATATGTGGAAAAAATTTTGCCCAATATGCCGGTCTTAGTGGACATATGAAGTCTCATGGCACTTCATTAGTAAGTACCATTAGAAATGGAGCAGAAGGGTTGAATGATTTAAGTGGTAATAAAGATTATGGATAATTAATTTAAGAAAAAAGTGATACACAAATCTCCGCAATGTTGTATGCTCTATGTTAAGTTTTTATAATTTTAGGTAAATTTAAAATCCAATAATAAATCTCTACTCATGGGTGATCTATCGAGCTGTTTTAAAAATCGATAAAATATAATTACTCAAATTGTCATATCTAACTACGTTGTAAACAATCGTAAATAGCATATTGGTGATCAGTGATAATCCCTGTTAGTTATAATATACATTAAAGAAAAACTTTGATTTATTTAGTTTTATTGGTCACTAGAAGTATGGATATTTCCGTACAGAAGTGTGGCGAGGTTACCGCTTCCTTCACAGAGGGAAAAAGGGAGTATTTCCTCAATTGCATGTTTTGCGACAGAATGTTTTTAACTTTAGATAAATTCGGTAAACATGTAGAGTACGTACATTTGGATTTGTCAGACGGATATGATTTGGAATTATTAGGGGATTATAAAATAAGTGAAGAAACAAATGCTTCGATGGACGATGATGAGGTAGAGGTTGTTGATGTTAAATATATACAATACATGCAATACATATTACTTTATTACACAGAAAAATGTTTTTATCAATATAGAAGTTCTGGGTGATTCAAAAGGGAAAGCCAAAGATATAGAACAAATAATTGAAGTCAATGGCAATGAAGATGTCACAGACTTATTCGAATTGAGTGAAAATCAGGTTAGTATCTACATAAATTCAATATTTAGGATTTACAAAAATTAAGGCATATTGACATATTAGGTAAACTGCAAACATGAAGAAAACTATAACGATATGTACGAAGAAACTGACCAGGAGTTAAGTGATACAGAAAAAGACTCGGTACGTTAAATATCAACAAAGCTTTACTATTCACAAAATTTAAAAAAAAATGTTTTTACTTTAGCGGAGCGACCCCTTGAAAATGTTTGATAAGGAAACCATGAAGACGATATTTTCAAATTTTGAAAATCATTCCATATTGTGGGACAGGGAAGATCCAACATCTAAAAACATTCATTTACGTTCGATTGCATATAAAAGTTTGGCATCAGATGTAGGAAAGCTTAACCAGTGGAAGAAAGTGAGAGATTTGATCCGAAAACTTAACCGCCGGCTTAGAATTGAGCTGGAGAGAAAAAAAGATTCCATGGCGTTGGATGAGGGCTACACTCCATCGTGGTTAAAGGATATGGACTCTTTTCTCAGAATTAGGAAAGAGGTATTGCTGTCAATGTATAATATGTAAATTGCTAAAATAATTTTTTTGAATTCCTAGAACAAGAAAATCGTCGCACCTCCAAGTATACTTACAGAACCACAACGAAAAGTATTTATAAAATGCTATAAAGGATTTACGTGCCTTTGGAATGAAATTGATATTGATTATCGATTACCAAACAAACGAGAAGAAGCAATGATTGAAATGGAAAATTTGTTGCAAAATCATGATATTTTTCTAACCCAATTGGAAATAGAGCAAGAAATTGCTCGAATGAGGAAAATTTGTTGGCAAGAGAAAAAAAGAAAGCTTAGCTGCGAAGAATTAAATAATATATACGTACCCAATTATGCCACCTATGAACAAATCCGGTTTCTTGAAACAGATGTTGGACCATTTAGGTGTGATATATGTAATGATATCCTTCCTGGACTCAATAAATTCAAAATGCATAAATCCAAGCATGATGGAATAAAACCTTTCACCTGTCCTCTATGCGGTAATAGCTTTACGACTGTACATAGCTTAAATATACATATAAATCGACATACAGGAGATTACAAATATATGTGTAAATATTGTGAGAAAAGTTTTCCTGCCTTATCAGAGCTAAATGTTCATGAACGTAGTCATACCGGCGAAAGGCCATACTTTTGTGATCAATGCGGAAAAACATTTCGCGTATGGGTATATTATGATTCACATATAAGACGCCATCAGAACCGACCGGGATATAAATGCAACATTTGCTCGAAAGATTTCTTTGGCGCCCATCATTTAAATGAGCACATGAGTATTCATCGCAAAGAACGAGATCAAGTGTGTAATGTATGTGGGAAGGCTTTTAAAATGGCAAAATACCTGAGGCAACACAAACAAATTCATTCTGTTAATAAAAGATACATTTGCAAAATTTGTGATAAAGCCTTTGCGCAATATGCTGGCCTCAGCGGACATATGAAAACTCATGGCACCACACTTGTAGGTCATAATAACAGAATTTACACAGCTGAAGATGATAGCAATGAAATTTTATAGTAGGTGGTATTGGAAGTCCAAATATTATACATTATAAGATATTTTAAGAAGTATAATAAAAGTATTTAAAACCAGATTGGTCTTCCAATTTATTTTAAAAAGTATCCTATTAATCCACCTTGGTCACTGAGTTTTTCGTGGCTCTCGGACTATCATTTCCAAATATACATATACCATGATAGGGCATTTACATTACGCTTTTGACGAATCTTTATGTACATATGTATATAAAAATATGATATATATTACAAGGAAAATCACACAGAGGAAAGGATATACTTAGAAAGTATGATATCTGTTTAGTTAAACAAGTTGTTTATTCCTATTTTGTCATTACACTTTCATTTAGTCCCATCATACATTTACAACCGCTCAGCAACCCCTTTTTGTGCTTTTACTGCAATAGTTTTTTCTTGGCGCTTTTTCTTGGTTTTTCAGTTTGTTTAACGCTAACGTCTGTCAAACGTCATTCCGTCATCCGCACACAAACAATGGAAGACACCGAAGTCGAAGAAATTAAAAATCTTGTAAGTTTTTATAAAAAAATGAATCAAACTACAGTTTTTTAATAATTGTGTAAACTAATTGCAATTGCAAGGACAAAATAAAAAGGTCAACATGTTGGCTCATAATGATATACGGTCATTACAGTTAAATACGAGCAGCTGAATATATAGATTATTTTCGCATCGTAAATCATGAATAAAATAATCAATATAATTGAAAAGAAAAAGCAAAACTAAAAAACCAAAACGAATAAAGCTATTGTAACAGAATCTGTGTTGTTCGTATTCTGAAGTAACTAACATAAATACATATATCTTTTTATATATAAAATGACATTGTTTTAACCATTGCACTCAAGATGTGATATAAATTTACTTATTTCACCCGCGGTAATTTGTCTATTCTGTGGCAAAAATCAATAAGTATAAATTGGCGGCTGTTCTGCAATTGCTGTTGTCTGTAAAATGAAGTAATTTGTAATTACTATTTTATTTTCAGCAAACCGAATTTGAGTGGGTTATGCGTGATGAGGTTCACGCGATACTTAAGAAGCTACGAGAGATTCTAGTGGTGAGCAATTTTTATTATTCATATTTCAATAGCGGGCAAAAAACGTTAAAAACAAAGAACTTGTTTTGAGTTACAAGTTATTTGAGTTATAAGGAAGAAAAACATTAGTGCATAACAAATATGCCATTATGTAAATATGGTTAATACATTTATCTAACATTACAGGAGTGCGCAAGACGATTTCCGGTACCATGTTTTCCAGACAACGAGGGTAAACGTACTGAAAAGTTTGTATTAATGGCTGCACAGGATCAGTTAAAGTGTTCCGTCACGCTCACTGGCGACAGCATAACTCAAGCTGTAATTTTGATGACATTTTTAAAATTACTTTGTCAGAAATAAATAATTGGTGTATTTTCAAGGATATTAGTTACAAATTGAAACGTGCATCCAGCCAAGTGCAACGTACGTCCATAACACCCGATGCGCCATGGAAACTACAACAAGTGCAAGATGCTGCAAATCATCTACAACAAGCTATTAATCATATTGATAATGTTGACGGAAATTATGCATTCAAGTACGTATAAATAATATTATATATCCATATATATATCCATACTTTTACTAAAAACCAATAAGAAGACATGATTGTATATTGCTTTAGGGCAGTAATTTTCCTTAAACAGCCTAAAGGCATGGAAACATCTTTCTGAATTTGTTTTTTGTTTTAGATCTCGCGAAGAAGTGCTTCAAATAATTGGCGAATTGATAGGAGCTCTACAGCGTGGTCGAACTAGTCTAATAATACCAAAGAAAAAGGCAATAGATGAACTTATGAAGGGGCGAAATATGGTGATTGCTATCTCATTAATATTAACAAAAGTAACTATTAATAACATACGACTTTTAAATTACAGAAATCGCTAACACCTAACCTACCAGAAGATCAAGCAATATCCTTCTTTTTACAATGCCACAAACTCATTATAGCTGTTTATCAATTATTAAACGTTCAAGGCACTATGAAAATGGAGGCCACTCAGGCTGAATGCTCAGTCGGTTGGCTTAACGAGGTGCTTGTGTTGTTCACTGTTGGTCTAACACTATGCCAACAGCTCAAGGATAAAATTAATGCATTTAAAATGGACGTATCAAGTTAGTAAATTACATGCCATCATCAATATATTTTGTTGAATGTAAGTTAATATTCATATATATATGTATATATATATATATATATATATTATGCCAAAGCCAACATATACAGTGTGCGGGTACAAACCATTCTAGTACTATAAAAAAAAAAATACTAAACAGTACTAAACACCTATATTTATAATACCGCTCATGCAAGTAATATATCAATGGTTAGTTATAAATACGTACATACATATCGGCAATAGGAAAAGGCATGCTATAAAAATGTAACTTCCATTAGTTGTGGCGATAAGCTAATGCAGTATCACTACACAGTCACAGTAAACTATGATGAAGAAGGTGTTACAAAGCGGGTGGTAACTAAACAAATTTATTGATCTCAACCAGTAAAACATAACTTGAGCATTATTTTTTTATTTTTCAAATTTCAGCATTCGGTTTTTGTATTTTCATTTAATTTTGAATATATTTTTTTAAGAATTAGGTAAATCATTATCTTAGCAAATATTTGGTAGTAAGTACATACTGGGGGTGTGTACCCAAATATGTATGTACATATATTGCAATCAGTTGGGGTTGTAAAAGATTTTCACCTTTATGACTTTTAGATTACAATTATCTTTACGTACATACATATGTATGATCGCTTGTAGTAAAGGGAATACTTTTCAGTTTGCATTTTCTGTATTGTTATTAGATACATATGCATATATGTACATACATACATACAAAATTTAGATTGGCTGCTGTTTTCAATTCTCATTTCTGTCTACATTCTATTTTTAGTACATTTTCTGATGAATTTTTATAGTTGACGATTTGTTTCAAAATTTGTTTTATTTATTTGGGAAATAATATCAATTGAACCATTTATGCGAATATTATAAATAACAGTTTGTAGCCTACGTATTTTTATTATTTATATTTTAATATTCCTTACGTATTCTTTTATTTATTAAAAATGTACATTTGTATGATCATATCATTTTATTTGAATACTTTATTCTTCTCTTATATCTCCCATTTTATTTTCTTTAAAACATATTACCGCTAAAAGAAATGCGTAGTTGTTTTATTGGCAGACAAAAAAATCCCCCAAATAGTTTTTGGTAATACTGCCTAGTTGACACTTATATATAATTCCCGTTACGGTTTCCTCTGCCTTGGCATAGGATTGATAATGCATTATCAATCTGGGAAATACATAGGGGTTTCCTTTCATGCTTATTAGTCTCTAAATAGCAATATACATATATTTGTCTGTTCCACACAGTCAAGCTACTCCACATCATTTTCATTTTAAGTTTTTTTTTTTGTTTGTTATAATTATTTTCTTTTTTTTGTTATTTTTGTGTTTTATTATTGCATTTTTGGGCAAAAAGAATTTCTAATACATACATGCATACATACATACATAAACTAAATATGTTTGAATGTGTGTTTTGCAAACTGAATGCCACCTCCGAAAATGATGCAAAATTTTTGAAAACTAACAATAGATGTATGCACGTGTATGTATGTATGAACACTTCTAGGGTGCTGCCGTTAGTAATATTAAGCTGCAAGAAGCAACATATTTATAAAAGTACATATATACGTATGCATGTCAGCAACAGCAATATGTAGTAGCAACGACAAAAGCAAATGCAGTTATTCAACTGAAATTTATTGGTTCAACAAAAAGTAATAATAATAATTAAACAAAAATTGACAATAACTTCTATTCTGCGTATCTTGTAAAGCTAAACCGTTAAATATACAATGGCATAGTAATATAAACGGGATACTTTGCGCATACAAAATGTGCTATATTGAAATTAAATGTCATCAAAGTTCTATACATAATTAAATTTAAAAATGTTGACTACTATTACTACAATTTATTATATAAAAGGCCAAATGGCGACTATTTCTTCATTTGGCCATTCAGCGAATTTATTGCTTTTCAGTGATTTTATTGTGAAAAATGTCAAACAATTTAGTGTTATATTATTCATGTCTGCTAACAGTATTTTGAATCTTTACAAGTACTTACTACATAACCTTAATTAAGTGTGAGAGTAAACGCGAGTTACTATACTTACCTTATTCAGCAATGAAGAGTACGAGTGTCTCACGATTTTTTTTTAACGAAATTCAATATGTAGTTTTAAGATAAAATGAAAGCCCAAATAAATTTGGAAACAATTACTCTTGATTGCCTTGGATTAATTAAATTATTGATAAAACATAATTAATTATCTTTCCGTGTTTGTAAGAAATTGGAAAAATATTCTTTATCTCACTATTTACTTAATATATAAGGCGCTTAAGTCTCGAAAGCAACCCATTAACTACCTACTCAACAAAATACCTGTATACTTAAATTTACTTAAGCGTATTTATTTACAACCATGTGTGTTTAAAACTAAAATAGTAAAAAGAAATTACGTTCTTTCGTTAGCATTTAAGTATTTATTTACATTGCAATATAAGTAAATGATTTATGCCTCAGTAAGAGGATGGAGCGTAGAATATCACTTAAAGAAGCTCCCATTTTAAGAATAATAAATGTTGATTAAAAAAGCTCATGATATACAACAAATACCATACATACAAACATGATAAGTAAATAACGTTTTTTGTAAGCTACTATATTAGTTTTATATATACATACATATATATGCATTACAATTGAATTTAAAAAAAAAGTTGTTAAATGAGTTTATAATTCAAATAAATGTAATCGACGTTATTAAAAAGACGTATAAATTCAACAGATATATTAACATTTTATTCAAATTCTTATAGTACGGTCACCACGACATTTTATTCATTCAGTTTTCTCTTCAAAATGCTCAACTGTGTTAAACAATTATCACGATAGTTTCGTCGTTCAGCCAACTTGTCTAACGGTACCATAACTTCTAATTGCTTTGCGATCTCCACTGCTGTTGGGCCTTCCATTTTCGGTGTTGGTCCCATAGTTTGACTAACTGCATACATGGTATTCGAATAGCGTTCGAAGTAATTGGTCATACCCTCGGCATTTAAATGTGCTGTTTCAAGTGGTCCCAAGAAAGCATAACGCATGCCCAAACCGTCGGACATTACACTATCCACATCCTTAACGTCGACAATGCCGCTGTCGACTAAACGCCAAGTCTCATTCAATATGGCATACTGAATGCGATTGAGTACGAAACCTTCGATTTCACGACTCAAAACTACGGGCTTCTGGCCAATTTCCTCCATGATGGCGCGCGTCTTTTTCACTACCTCTGGATTTGTCCAAGGAGCGGGTACAATTTCTACCAGAGGAACATAGTATGGTGGATTGACGGGATGTGAGACGATTATCTGTTGAAAAAAAATTGTATTTTTAATTAATAGTACAATATTATACTCTTACTAGTTAAAAAACAATTTATTGGAATACAGCTGGTGGTATACTATTCCTTTTTAAAGCGTTAACAGCTAGTCATAATGTATGTTAATGAAATATTCTAAATATTGAAATGTTTTACTGAATATCTAGAGTAAGTATTTATTAAATCCCTTTTTAAATACACGTTTCGTCATAATTTCTAATGCGCCTAAATGTAAACAATACTGTTAACGTGTTTTATGTACAGTATTTATTGCCACGAACTTTATAACACTTATAAGAAAACGTCGGAGATTCTATAATATATATATATATAATCAGGGTGACGAGTCGATTTAGTCAAGTCCGTTTATCTGTCTGTATATACACAAAATAGTTCCTCAGTTTCTAAGATATCGATACAAAACATACATGCGTTTCTCCCCAAGAAGCTATATATTTGTCGGAACCGCCGATATCCGACCACTATAGCATATAGCTGCCATACAAACTGAGCATACCAAATCAAGTCTTTGTATCGAAAAGCATTTTATTTGTAAAGATATTTTACTTGTAGCTGTGTGTAGATTTTTACAAATATCCATAACTTTTATTGTTCACTGAGAAGTTAAATTTATTTAAGCGGTTTAAAACAACAAAATCTTAAATATTATAGTCTTTTAAAAAGCTTATAGTACAGTTTCATAGTTTTTCTATTTATGACTCCGCTTACGTTGCCAATGTTTTTTAATAGATAATAGCAAATATTTAATTAATTTGCAATTATATTAAATTAAATTTTTTTTAATATCAATAATACACATGTACATGCACTAACGGTTGAAATAACGGGGTACTTCAAATTCACGCTTGACGCCCGTGCCACTAAAATGGTTTTCCTAAAAGAACCGCCATTTTAGGTAGGGTCACATGAAGAGCGCAAGTAGAGCTTAAGTACTACGGAACTAAGGTGAATCCATATCAATACCACTGCTTTTGTACGATAAGGATGCCTTCATTGACTTATGCATGCAAAACTAATATTTTATTTATTTTATTCTTGTCTAGGTCACCTTGCTCAGTTCCTTATAACGTTATCCGATAAGATAATTTCAAAGATCAGCAGAAGCGCAAGTGATCAGCAGTATGTTTTCCTCTTTATGTTTAAACCATATATAATATAATATATGCTATATCTAAGTATTTTCATGCGTGTGTACATCTACTCAAATACCTAAATATTTTTTATTTTTCTACAGCTTTTTTTTTTTTGTAAATAAACAAAATGATAACAAACAATTTGTTATCTGACACTCAAGCAAGTGTTGTGAGATGACACTTTTAATTAATGACGCGCTCGATTACGCAAATACACAATAAATTTATGAATTTTTATTGCAATTTGTCCCAAAGTTCTATTTAATCTCACCAACGCATTCTATTGATGCTGATTTGTTTGAAACTATGAGTGATTGACGTCGTTTTGAAGCATTATAGTATACATTTTTTGTTATTGTCAGTAATTTTATTGGTGACTTTAAGATTGGTTCAATCAAAGTTATCGCTGTTATTTTGATTGTAGAATTTAATTGGCTAATCGAAATTATGTACCATATATGCCATATAGGTATATATAGTAGTGCTGATATGTGCAAATATACATATGTATGCATTATTTTCATACACATGTATACTATATTAATTTACGTTTAGCGCTCTATTTCAGTTATTGCAGTTAATTTTTTTAACCAAATATTCACACAGTTAATTCGAGTACACTTCTAACAAAGAAAATATAATGAATAGAGTGAATTAATTTATGTCAGTTCGTAAGTCAAATCAAGGTGAAAATGTGTACACATGACTAAATCTTTTACCCACAGTTGATTACTTGCAAACAATGCTCAACAAACTAGTTTTCATGCATTTTTGAGCAGCTATTTTTTTGTTTTTATAAAATGTAATTAGCGCATAAATTTACTTACATTCGACTTGTGTTTCAAGTCTTTCGAAAATAACGATGGCAAGAAAGTACTTGTCGAACTGGAGAGTATTGTTTGCTCTTCAACAACTTGATCCAATTGTTTGTAAAGTGCCTGCTTCCAATCCAAACGTTCTGGTATACATTCTTGTATGAATATAGCTCCTTTAACCAATACTTTAATATCAGTTGTGCCCGAAATAAGTGCGAACTGCTGACTGGCAGTCAGTTTACCACGTAGCAAGCCTTTAGCTTCCAAGCTTTTGAGCTCCTTTTCCGTTTCCTTCAAAGCATTTTCAATTTGAGTTGGTACACTATCGTATAGCACCACTGAGTAGCCAACGGAGGCGAATAACATGGACCACGAACGTCCAATAAGGCCGCTAAATAATTATATGTTTATATTTAATATAATTTTTTCAATAAATACTGCTTTGAGTATCCTCACCTGCCCACAATTCCCACTTTGCCTTTGCTTGCCATTATTTGGAATAATTTGAAAGCTTGAATGCAATTAACGTTGTCAGTTATAATACGCTTTGTACTATATATTAGCTGCCGGTCTTTATAGTTAGACTCTTGTTATGCGTTTGACGTATTTTGTGGTGGAAGTGGGTCTATAAATACTGTGTTGCTCTTGCCGCAGTAGCAGTCAATGCGGCTTGCTCAAAGCTTTGACGTTTCGCCTGTCACTCGCATCCCCCGAATCCGCTCCACGAGTCTGTTAGCAATGTTGTCAAACATGCATTTTGGCCTCTTATGATAAGGCATATCAAAGTTATAAATAAATACGAATAAACTAGCATGTCTAAATTAAAGATTAGAACTAAGTAATATCTCACACACGGAGAACTGTATAATTGTTTTCATTATCAGACGTGTTGGGTACGTGTCTATACACCTTTATTTAAGCTCATATTTGTATGTATTTTGCTGCTGTATTATTTATTTTGTTTATAATAATAATTTATTTTTTATTTTGTGTAAGTGCATTCGATATATAGATTTCATTCAACTATATTTCGTATAATATGAACCGATCTAATCTATTTTTTTACCGAATTAGAAAATTCACGAAAACAAATAGTCATATGTAACTGACCTACCTGACATTACATTTGTACATATGTACCCGGAGTTTTTCGTTTGTGATCTGTCGTAAGTTTACTAGTTTTGATAAATACCGTTCTATGAAAGTGGGCTTGGTTATAACTCGGACATATAGAATTTGTAAATGTGATTCCAAAATATTGGACAATTACAATCAAAACTTTCTACTTCTCACATATAATCCCAACAGCTCGGAGAGGAAAACATGTTCAAAATGTATAAGAAAATTTTCGGTCAAAAGAAGTATGGCATATTTAAAGAGTAATTCTTTAAGAATTTTCGAAGCTGAATTCGTATTGGCATTACCACAGGAACTACCTAACTACCTGAAAATTGATGTGAAACCATCTTCCGTGATCGATATTTCAATAGCATTAAATTTATGCAAAAATATTCGCAACTAATTTATATTTTGCGTGTTCAAGTAAATAAAAAAAATATATTTACTTAACTGTTTTGATTAAATATTAAGGTAGTACTCTGGTAACTTGGTCTTTTTGGGAATAATTTATTTGTAAAAAATAAAATTCAATCAGTTTCATTTTCTAATATATTGTCAATAGTATCTCAGAGTGTACAAAAAAAAATTTTTTTTTTTTATTTGTTGTTTTGTAGCACTGAAGTTAGCATCTCAAAAAAAGGAGGTGGCTGGCTCCGGTGATTTGGTCGCTTGACGACATCTGAAATAGAAAAATCAAAAAGATTATTGTTCTGTGCGCTAGCATTCTAGTTGGATGGATTGTTTAAATAATTTCGTTGAAAAACAAAAAAATGATTGACACTAAAAAACGGGAAATTTTTTAAAGTAGAAATCGGGCTGTAAAAAAAAGTTGGGGATGAAATAGATCCTGGGTCCTGCGAGAGCTATTTTGGAGCGGTTCTAGCGGTAATGAATAATTTGGTTTACCCCAAAAAATTTATCTACCATATTTCGCTAATATCGAGCATAATGTATTTATAGTAGAAGTTTCATTATTTGTTCAATGATATGTTTTAATATTTCCATATAGATTATACAATAATTATATATTTCAACTTTATTTCAATCGCCGGTATTCTATTTTAGCAATAAATTTTTATCCACGTTATTGCATGGCTAATTCGATAGCGTTTCGGTTATATTTTAAAATCGATACATGACGGTAGGGAGTACTCGGGGAATGTTTTCGTCAAACTTCGTGTAAGTGCTCGGTGTTCGTCGGTGTCGCTAAGGAGAATCGAAACACCTGTCGACTACCCAGAAGATTAGATATCGTTTTAAAAGCAATTTTTACATTTGCGAAAAGTTTTGTTCAAATGAAAATTAAATATAATTTAATGAATAATTGACGTAGTACATTATATTAAACGATAAAAAAATACACGTTGACAGCACTAACTGCTTATTCTTTCTCCTCCCTTTTCTAACATGATGCTGAATTTGAACAGAAAACTCCCCCTGAAATTTGTTTCTGCGTACGCAGCTGGTTCGGACCACAATAGGATATAGCTGCCATGCAACACTAAAATAAAGATCTTTTTATACCCTTCTATGCCAACTCTCGTATATTAATTCGCTGCTTTTTTCACTACCACAAACTAAACTAACATTTGCACTAGTGTTAACACTTTATGTTTCTACTCTCAATAAGTAGGTGTTCCTTAATTGGCTCGGCGACCAAGAACGGGTTAATTTTTACAGGTAATTAGCAAAAGTGTAAAAATATGATTTTATATGTACATATATAATTCTTCTTCGAATTAGCATTTTTGAGTTCATTCTCCCATGTATATGGTTTGTAAATTAACAAAATGTCAGAGTACTCGCTAATATTGTATTAAATGGACACTGAGAATGAAACTTAGAGTGGACATTAAATACTCTCTAATGCACTTTGCGAATTTAATTTCTCAAAGAGAGTATTATGCCGTCTACTCAATAACAAAAAAAACGATGCTGAACAATATTATAATTCTCTCTATTCACACAGTTTCAATAGAAAGACCTGCAATAACAAACGGAGTAAAGCTTTTTTCGTTAAAGTTTTTAAGTTATCTTAAAGCTTTTATGTTAACCTCAATGTATAGTAAATACAGAGAATGTTAATAATAAATATCAACCGTTTTGCAGGCAAGTATCTGTATATTAATCTCGTTTAGGTATAATGATTGAGACAGCTTGAACTCTTTCTCAGTCTCATTCAGCTTAACAGCGCTCAGAGCGATCTATAGATGTTTTTTATATTAAAAAACACTTGTAGTCAAGAAGTGTCTTACGCGTGGACTTGAAAAGAGAGAGATTTAACTTAGCTGACTATAGGCAATAAAACAAATTTAATATTATCACTGGTTTGCATGTTCACTTGCATTCGTATGCGTCCTTTTTACCTCACTGTACCTTCATTTACCTCCATTTTGTGTAATAACATTATGTAGATTATAATAGAAAATATTTATTAATTACATCCCGTCTTCTGCAACAAACAATTTGTGTTTATTTCAATTGAAAATAGCATAATACATGAATTGTGAAAGTGTGCTTGATGGCAAGATTAGATAAAAATTTATTCCATCTCAGTTAGCTCTTAATACATCTTTATTTATGACACCAGGGTATGTTGTGTACTTCGGTGACTTTCCGGTCAATGCAACGAATTGCTCAGCAACTTCGACCGCAACACGTACCTGTGCCTCAGCTGTGCTGGCGCCCAAATGTGGCGTCGCTACCACTTTCGGATGCGCGATTAACGCCTTTGTCACCACCGACTTTGGCGGCTCTTCAGGGAACACATCAAAAGCGGCGCCACCGCAAATGCCACTCTCTAATGCATCTAAAATTGCTTGCTCTTCAATAATACCACCGCGTGCCACATTCGCCACCTTAACGCCACGCTTACATTTCGCAAGCGTTTGAGTTGAAATTAAGTTCCTAGTCTGCGGAATAAGTGGTGTGTGTACGGTGATATAATCTGCTAATGGCCAAATGCTATCCAACTCCATTTTTTCAATGCCTGCTGCGCGTGCCTCTTCCTCAGTTGTTATGGGATCGTAGCCAATTGTACGCATACCCCATGTCTTCATGCGTATGGCGACTTCGCGTCCAATGCGTCCTAAACCGATAATCGCCAGAGTTTTGCCATACAATTCCGTGCCACTGTACAACTTTCGATCCCAACGACCCTCCTTCAAGCTTTGTGCTGCCGGCACAATTGGGCGCGCCAAAGTTCCAATTAGCAGACAAGTCAGTTCACAAGCTGAAATGGAATTTCCTCCTGGTGTATTTAATACAACCACTCCCTGGCTTGTGGCTGCCGCCACATCAATATTGTCGACTCCCGCACCAGCGCGCCCTACCGCCTTTAGCTGTCCACCATCTGCAGTGCCTGCTTTGATAACTTCAGCTGTTATCTTGGTGTCCGAGCGTACAATAACCGCATTGTAATTTTTCACCACTGCGCATAATTCGCTAACGGGTAATTTTAGTTTTGTGTCCACATTTATACCATTATTTTGTAGCAACTCGACACAAGCTTTGTCTACCGCATCACAGATCAATACATTTTTAATATCAACAGACATTTTGAACTGTAGTAATCTCTCTGTCTGGTGCGTGCAAAAGCGAATGATAATGTAAGAATCTTAGTTAAAATTGTTTGATCGAAATATAGAAACGTCCGTCTAGCTCTGAGCGCGGCTCATAACTAAAGTCCTCTGTCAAGTTTTATTATATTTATACGAGCAGTTTCAGGTTCGACTGAGAAATAAAACAACAGATGAATTCACCTCACGACGAGAGAAGTTAACTGATGAAAAATTAACATTGCTTTGGTTTTTAGCAGAAGGGAGTCTGTAGAAATTACGCATTTCCTATTGTTAATATTCGCAACTTGAGAATTTTGATGAGGGAACCGGAGAATGAATATAAGCTATGTGAATTTTTAATTTATAATCATTACAATTTTTCTTTTTAAGTTAAAATATATTCAATTATGAATTATTATTATTAATATTTTGATTCATTTATTTAAATATTTATACCTTGAACATGGTATGTTAAGTTTGCCACGAATATAGTAACATACACAGTACTTACATACATATCTATAAAAATGATCAGCGTGATGAGCAGAGCGGATTTAGACATGTCCGTCCGCTGTATATACACGAACTAGCCCCTCAGTTTTTGAGATATCAATCAAAATTTGCTTTTCCGCATTTGTCGGGATCGCCGGTATCAGATCACTGTAGCTTATAGCTGTTATACAAATTGACCGATCAAAATCAACATAAAATCTTTTTATACCCTTTTATGCTTTAGGAAATGTACTCGGAGGCGTGCACCGAACCTAAACGTTATTTTTTTTTTTTTTCGATTTATGTATATGACACCAATCATCGAGCAAGCATTGATTTGCTGTCGGCACTTTTCATGTACAAGTTCGATCAATAGTTATTACTTTAATGTTTCTTTATTTACCGTTCAAAAATTGATATATGTACATATGGAGGTATGTGCGTATATATGCTATATCTACATCACCAACAAATCAAAGGCTTTTCCTTGCAAGCCGGAGGTTAGGGATTGCACAAACGCAATGAATCGTGTCCAGTTGTTTACCTGCAAGACAAAGGTAACAACAGAGAACATAACATTTTCAATAATTGTGATCACTGTTAAGTGTTTGCCGTTTTTATATCTTCCTCAACTTTTTTACAGAACGCTGAAATACCCACTGAGCGCTAGACGTAAACAATGGTAGAGTATTTGTTATTCCATTATTCATAAGCTTATCAAAAAAACAAAAAAAAACGAAACTGATACCCTCTTGACGCTGTGATTATCAATCAGGATCCAACAACTAACTACAATTTTTAAAATTACAATATTTAAGAATTCTTTTATAGTGTTTAGTGTGCGTGTAAAATGAGCGATTTTTACCACGCACAGAAAGTTAACAAATAGTTTGCTTGCAATTTTTTGTTTTCAATGGAATCATGGCTACGAAATCGTATACCACGAATACAAGTATTTGAGTGGCTCAAAGAATTCAGTGAAAGTCGAGAACTCATCGAACACCTGCATTCTGCGAGTCGTCGATCCACCTTTGTTAATGACGAGAACATAGAAAATGTTAAAGAAACAGTGCTTGAAGATCGTCGTGTTGTCATCAAATAGTTAGCGGAGGATATCAACATATCTTCTGCATCGAATCAACACATGTTGGTTAATGTTTGTGGTAGGAAGCGTATCAGTGCTAGACTCGTACCAAAAGACCTATAAAATTTGCAAAAACTACGACGAGTAAAGGTCGCTAGAGAGATGGTAGGCAACGTAGCTGAGGACCCTCATTACTGGTGACGAGCCATGGGTTTATTACGCTACAACCAAATGAGCCGAAACTGAAAAGTTATGGAAAATCGAATTAAGCGTTAGCATTTTTGTATTGGCTAAGGAGTATATTTTAAAGGCCATAATAAATGTTTGTATTGAAATACATGAAAATGTATTATTTTTTGGCAGTCCAGGTTATTGTTGATTAGATGGTACACACATATACATGGGTTTTTTTTTATCTAAAGAAGACACACTTCTGAATAAAACTATTATATTTTAATTTAGTTCTTTATATTTAATATAATTTCCAAGGTTTCGTATAAACTTAATAAAATGAATAATATGAGTAAACTGGTTTTTGCCTTTGCTTTGAAGCTGAGATGTGCTTTCATAAATTTCACCAAGAGCTTTGCCCAAAGTTTTAAGTTTATATTCTGTTTACGATGCACCATGAACATTTTTACGTGGCAGCAGCAAAGCAAGAAAAGCGCAAATAAATAGAGCTCCACAGCAGATATAAAAATTCCATTCGCAGTGCTGACCCATCAAAACTCCAGCAACGTTGGCCCCGGCTATACTTCCAACACGACCCACCATTAGTGATATGCATGTGGCCATGGCGCTATTTATACAAAGAAATTTGAATTTATTTTATGTAAATGTATATATGTAGAGCGAGCTCATCTCCTTACCGAAGGTGTGTTGGATACAACTCCACTGTAATAACATTCAGCACAATGATTGCCACGCCTACCACGAAAAAGAGCACATATAGGTAGGCGGCAATAACTGAATTGACTATGAAGACCGAAGCTAAACCGCAGGATGTGAAAAATATTATGGTAATAACTGAAAAAATTGTTTATTATTTACACTGATTTAAAAATCTTGTATGAAGACCTACAAAGAATATATATTTTTCCCACACGATTTATGATAAAGCCCACTAATGCGAATGAGCTGGCGTAAAGTATATTCATAATAAGAGAGTAATAAAATGTGGGTGTCTCCAGTTTATTCAGGCACTCTATGGTCTAAAAGTAAAGTTTAGAATTTCAAATTATAATTCACTAACAAGAAATTTTCACTCACTCCATCAGTTTTGTATAAGCTTTCTTGCTGATCATAGACAATTTCACAAATATGTTTGTGCTCGCCTGGGTGTTCCTGTATGAATGCCGCCACACTATTAATTGTTTGCGGGAACCACATATATAAGCCATTGGCAGCGACTAGTGCCCAAAATTGAATATTACAAATTATTACCGTCATTTTTAAATATTTCCGTTCAAACAACGGTGCGGTTTGATTCCACATCGTTAGCAAAAATACGAGTGCGAAATTCGAATTCGAATCGCAGTGGTTAAGTTTCGATATTATGATCGAAGTGTCATCATCTGGAAGAATATGTGTAATCTGTGAGAGCGAGTGTGAATAAATTATAAAAAGGATTTTGTTAGTAAAAAGAGTATATATTATAAATTTTTAGTTTACTTTGAGTGTTTCTTTTCCATTATTCCAGCGGTGCATTTTTTGCAACACCTGTATGGCCTTCGTCTCCTCACCAACCGTCAGTAAAAACTTTGGACTTTCGGGCAAAATATAAATTATAAGACTGCAAAGTAATCCGGGAACACCACATACGATTAGAAAGACACGCCATGGTCTATAGCTTATGCGAAGAAATGTTAAAGACAAAACCCAGTCTTGATTTATTACCAAGTAAGCGATTATCGGCAGAAGCATCCCAACAACGGAATATATGACTCCTGAGCACATTATTGCGCGTGAACGTGTTTTTGGTGAATGGAATTCGCCAAGGTAAGCGTAAATGACAGCAGTGCTGGACACACTATTAAAAAAAAATGTATATAATGTGAAAAATTTTAGACGAAATTCTGCATATTTGATACTTGTATGTTTTAATGGAAACTACTTGTATTACTATAATTACCCATAGGCTGGCTTCACTTATTTGAAATAACTATTTGAGGGGTTATGTACACTTGCAAGTTGTACGTTTACAGAATTTAATTACTTTCATAATCGACTATTCGTTTAAAAAAATTTAGAATTTCCTTGTAGCCGATCTCCAGGAGGAGCTCCAAAAAAGGGTGTCTGGCAATGAGAAAGATTTTTCTACATGAAATTATCGCAATTTACAAAACTAAAAAAAAATATTTTCACTATTGATGAACTTCCTACCATTAAATGTATTAAGAATCGACGGACTAGTCAAAATCTTGATTTTTGACAAATGGCCAGCTTACCAATAAAAGTAATTTTTTGTGAAATAATTTACACTTCAGACTGTCTTAAAAATCGAAATGATTATCAAAAATTTCATTCTTGAAAATTTCGTTCGGTACAGCCGTTTCGGACAAGTTTTCCTCATCGGCTATGAAAACAGCGCTTCGAGAAAAACACGTTTAAAGTTTTGAGAGCCGATGACACTCAGTTACAAATTTTCATATTTCTGAAACTAGATATTTGCCGAATCAAAAAATTTTCGAACTATATATGAATTTTTCATATATATGAATTTTTGATATGTATGCAAAATAAAAAGATTTTTTGAAATTCACAAGTGGTTATAACCCCTTAAAAGTCAAAAAATAATAATAATAACATCAGTCAGGTTTCGTTCATAGTTAGAAACAAATTTATGATGACCACTTAAAAACAACGCTTACTTCTTAATATAAGATTAATTTTATTATTTACCATATAATATTTTTCCTAACATCCTCTATGTAAATCACGATACCAGACATTTATGAAAATTACATTTAAGTTTTATCTTCTTATCAAACAAAATATTGATACTCACAAAAATCCATTAACGAAACGTAGTAAAACCATTGTCCAAAAATTATGTGCGAAACTGGAGAAAACAGTAGACACAAAAGCTGCCAACAAAGTGGACCATAACACCCGCCGACGTCCCTTGGTATCAGCAAAAAATCCCCACATATGTGAACTAGTGATTATACCCACAAAATTTATTGCACTGAGTATACCTTTGTCGCGATTGGTCAGTTGCAATTCGCATTGAGCGATGGGCAGAACAAAGCCTATAGAAGTGGTCTCCAGCACCAGTGTGCCCGTTACTAAGCCGGATATGAAAATCAAAACATAGTTGAATTTTCCAAAATCTGCAGGAGAAACATTGCTTTATTTTTCTACTTACTTTAACTCTATTTCTCCACTTACTTGTTAGTGCCAAAGCTTCAGTAAAGGTGTAGGTACCTGACTCACGAATACGGTTCACTGTTTTAGCATCTTGAGTGCGAATTGTTGTGGCTGGTTATATTTTTTCACATTTTAGTAATTTTAATATGCATGTAAAAATTGAGATATATAATATATTGAGAGCGAGGGTTGAAATTCAAACAAATATAAATTTGTTTTTAAGGGAGTTGAACACATTAAAGAGATATGCGTGTAATACATACTTGTACGTAAGTATGTGTACGATATAATTCACCAGCTGGGTCCAATTCAAATTATAAGCATTTACTCATATATTTCAAATAACCAATAATTAGTAGGCTTGTTTCTGCCATCAGGAAGAAGACGAATGCGAACAAGTTACTCTCACAAAGAACGAAATAACGAAAAAGTAGAGAAACGGAAAACTAGCAGAAATTAGCAAGGGCGTATCAAAACGTGTTTTTTTTTATAATCACATTTCAACACTTGACAATTAACAATATAATTTTTATTTTCACAAAACTATTTACCATAACAAAATTTAAACAAATGCGTTAAATATCGCTGGTTTCTTGAGCTTCCAGCAGCTGATTTCTGTTGACAAAAGGTTTTCGAGCAGAAACCAGCAGCGCTCTCTGGTTCTTACGCTCTCAACTTGTACTCTTCTGCTAGTTTTTTTGGATTAAGAAATACTCTTAAAGTAGAAACTTGGCTAGCTAGTAATAAGAATATTTATCCATTCAGAAACAAACTCAGTTAAATTTCAAATTTCACATTAATTTTATTCATGTATTTTAATTAAAAAATTTCGAGATGTTTTACAAACATTATAACATTTATGATCACATATTAGTAGACCAAAAGCGAATACAAATTTTTTCTCGTTTAACAAACTTGTTCATTTTATTGATAAATTTATCGTTTTTTTACTTCGAACCTTAAAGTGGAGAAGCACATTTGTGTGCATAAAATAATCATAATAACATTTCGGTGCAAGAAATATTTATGTTATCTAATTTCAAATATCGTCTCTTTATTTATATTTCATATATGAAAAATAATTACCCATTTTATAAAAAACAAGAAAATTTATTAAAGCAACACTGAGCGTCTTAATTAAAAGCACCAATCCTGCGAAACACCTAATTTGGTTATTATTGTTGTACAATCAAATATCTACTAACTTTCTAATAGCATTTATTTACTTTATCAAGTCAATATTTAAGCAATTGTAATGAATCTGATCAATGAACCGGTACTGACTCGCATATATTCCGTACACCCAGTCAGCATTAAAAGATTGTCAAGAGAGATGGCTGGTTCTTCACTACTCTTAAAAATTAGCTATATCTTAAAACAAAGAAAAAAAGTACTTTAGTGCAGTGATAGGAACAGCAAAAATGAACATTAATTTTAGTGCAATATGACAGGATGTGTCCCGATTCTATACGAGTATAAGTGGTGGTAGTTAGTGAGCCCCAATTTCGCTATGATTCGTTATAGTTCTTTTGTTTGTAGGAAATTAACCAAAATTTTTTAAGAGCTTTTAATTTCATATATTTTTTTTTGTAGCCTTATATTATTTAAAAAACAAGCAAAAACTTTAACTTCGGTTGCACCGGACCCTTCACAAATTCAAAACGTTCCTTAGAAGAATTTTATTCCGATCGTTCGGCTTGTATGACAGCAATATGCTATAGTAATCCGATCTGAACAATTTTTTCAGTGATTCTATTATTGCTTTAAATAATAATTTGTTCCAAATTTCATGAAGATATCTCGTCAAATGAAAAAGGTTTCCAGGCAAGCACTTGTATACTAATCCGATCCGAACAATTTCTTCGGATATTCCATTATTATCGTAGATAATGATCCGTTCCAAATTTTGTGCAGATATCTCGTCAAATGATTCGTCTAACTTCATGGTCATGTTTTTGTCCGAACCGTGACTGAGACTCGCTTGGAAAAACACTTCTTAAAAACGCTTCATGTTGGGTTCGATTAGTTTTCAAATACATACATATCCTTCCTAATTTGCTTTAGAATACAAAATAAACTTTAATAAACGATTCCGTTCTCCATTGTAACATAACTTAGTAACAATAAGTTGTACATAAAAAACTTCAAAAATATTTTTTAAAAGACTTTCACTGATACAATGTGATTAAAGTCTAAATTACATTTTGGTCACGAATATTTTTAAAAGTTTGTTTTTTAAATTTTATTTTCTTTTCCTTTAAATCAACATAATCGTATATCAAAAAATCCTTATTTGTTATAAAAACCTATGTCTATTTAACCTATGCTATAAATCATTTAACTTATATTCAGATCAAATTTTAATATCACTATTACAAAACTCTAGTTAAATGGTTATGGGTTAATCGTTTTGCTTGACTTAAGTTACTAAGCTATGAAATAAATAATACATACATATATTCGTTTAAATCTATGCGCATATACTTGTACTGATTTCTGTACTAGATACGTCTAACTAAAATCACGCTAAAAACTAAGAAATTATAATCCAACAATCACGATTCACTTTTGATCGCCACATCGGGGCTCTTACGTGGCAGCAGGAGTGCGAGAAAGGCGCATATATACATAGCGCCGCAGCAGATGTAGAAGTTCCATTCACAGTAATGACTCATCAGGGCGCCGGCTATATTAGCGCCGACAACACTGCCCAAACGGCCCACCATAAGTGAAATACAACCCGCCATAGCGCTGAAATAAATGTGAAATTAGAATGCGTTTCAATTGTCAGCTCATCTATTGACCTACCGCATGTGTGTGGGGTACAAGTCGACTGTAACAGCACTGAGCACATAGATCGCCACGCCTACCAGGAAGAAGAGCACATAGAGGTAGGCGGCTATAGCTGGATCGACTATGAAGACCGATACTATGCCGCACGATGTGAAGAATATTAACGTAATAACTAAACAAATTTTTTATAGATTAATTTTCGCTTAAAAATTTTGTAAAAATGCTTACAAAGTATTAATATTTTTCCCACACGGTTTATGACAAAGCCAATAAATGCGAATGAGCTGGCATACAATATTTCCATGATGAAAGAATAATAATATGTAGAGTCTTCCAGCTTGTCGATGCACGCGATGGTCTAAAAATGTATAATATTCAAAATTCAATATGCTTAATGAATTTAAATATTTTGTAAGAAATTTTCACTCACTCCATCAGCATTGTATAAGCTTTCTTGGTGGTCGTAGACAATCTCACAAATTTGTTTGTGGTCGCCTGGGTGTTCGTGCATGAATGCCGCCACACTATTAATTGTTTGCGGGAACCACATATACAGGCCATTGGTGACGACAAACAACCAAAATTGTATATGGCAAATGATCATTGTGATTCGTAAATACTTCCGTTGGAACAGTGGTGCTGTTTGGTTCCACATCGTTTGCAAAAATATTAGTGCGAAATTCGAATTGGAATCGAAGTTATTGTTAAATTTCATTGTTGAGACTGCTGAGTCATCCTCGGGCAGAATATGTGTAATCTTTGTTGGTAAACGAAATAATTTGTAAAAAGTGAAAGCAAGCCCTTAAAAAAGAAAACAAAAATATACTCCTACAAAATTTCCGTTTACTTACAATGAGCTCTTCCTTTCCACCATTCCAGCGATGCATTTTTTGCAATACTTCAATAGCTTTGCTCTCCTCTCCAATGGCAAGCAGAAATTTTGGACTTTCGGGTAATACAAAAAGTGACAATCCACAAAGAAATCCTGGTATGCCACATACGATTATAAACAGACGCCAGGGCTTGTAATCTATGCCCAGAAATGATAAAGGCAGAACCCAATCTCGATTGATGACTAGAAAAGCGATCATTGGTAAAATCATTGCGCCAAGAGCGAATATAAATGCTGATCCCATAATAGCTCGTGAGCGTGTTTTATCTGTGTGAAATTCACCGAGGTATGCGTAGATTGTTGCAGTGCTAGCCAAACTGTAAAAAATGAGGAAGAGACCCGAATGAATGAATGCTCATGAAATAAATAAAAAATTATAATAAATAGAAAGTTATTAATAATTAATTTACAATAAAAGTCTTCAAAAGCTATACTAAAAAAGTGACAATTTACGGCAGCAGATATTAAGGAAAAATAATTTAAATATTGCATTCAAGGGTCTATCGAGTGTAATCAGACCTATTTAGCTTTATCAGAAAGAGAGAGTGAGGGATAATATTATGCTTCACTTGGACTATCGAATTGGTGCAGATTTTCGAAGTCAAGAAATGAAATCAATGGCATAACATTGATAGTACAGTAAATATTAATAAATATTATTTTTTTCATGATATGATACATACATACATATATACTTACAAAAATCCATTAAAGAAACGTAGTAAAACCATAACCCAATAATTGATTGCGAAACTTGAGAGTATTGTAATCGTAAATGTGGCCAACAGTGTAGGTCTCATCACTTTGCGACGACCCTTCGTATCTGCCAAAAATCCCCACAAATGAGAACTCGTTATTATACCCAGAAAACTGATTGCGCTAAGTACACCCTTATCCACATTCGTCAATTGCAGATCACATTGTGCAATCGGTAAAATAAATCCCATTGAGGAGGTTTCCAGCAACAGCGTGGCCATCACCATGCCGGAGATGAATATTAAAAAATAATTAAATTTTCCAATCTCTGCAAAAAAGTTTAATTGAAGTAATTAGTTGTGTATATATGTATGTATATATAATCCCTATATATTTATAAATATATTATAGTAGATCATAGATGAAGAATTTACTTACTTGTTAATGTCAAGCAGTCACTGAACGTGTAGGCATTTGGTCCCTGAAATTTGTTTACCGTGGCGGCATCTTGAGGGGTTACACTTTGTACTAGTTCACAATAATGGAATTTTTTTATAAGAAAATAATAATAAATTAATAAAAATTTGTTTCAAATAATCGAATCGGGTTGTAAATAATAGTTTTATGATTTTAAATTAAAAGTCCTAAAAAAAATTTGCTTATGCTGTGTTACTTATATGCATGGAAACTAACTTTGAATAACTTATATCTTTAGTATTAGTTGTATTATACCAATTCCTTGCATTTGGTATAGAGGGTGGACTAAAAACCAAACCTTTGTCTATTAAGAAATTAATTAAAAATATTCAGGAAAATAACATTCAAAATATTCAATAAACTGATGATTTTGTAAAAAAAATCTAGTTTGGTCTACCCTATACTTAATTTTTAATAATCCGATTCAGTAAATTAAATCGTAATAATATAATTTTTTGTGTCTGTATCTAAATACAGCTGTGCTTAATTAAGTGCTGTGAGAATAGAATTGTTCCAGCATTTTTTTTAAATTAACATTTTAATTGACTAACAGTAGCAAACACTTTAGAAGGGCCGGTACATAACACTAAAGTTTTTAAGAGATTGTGATTTGTGCAACAAAATACTCCAATTACGATTCTAAATTTAAGTTTATATGTACATGTTCAACCAAGTACTATGCGCAAGTAGTAGAAATATAGATTTAATTTATTCATAAAATAATTCAATTTTAATAATAGTAAACAGGTGTCACAATAAAAAGTGCATAATTTTATAAACAAAAAAAGGTATTTTTTTTAAATTAATTCCTAGATAGTGAAAGTATTTTCTCACAATCCAAGTCATTTGCTCATTATTCGCTTTTTAGTAATATGTGTTTTATTTCCCTTAGTCGAAATAAAGTCCTTTCTAAATAAAAAACAAAATCGAAACAACACTTTTATTTTTCATTCTCTTTCATTATGTCAATCTTTTCAAGATCTTCAAATGTTATCTTCACTACTACTTGTTTCACAAAATTTTCCTATCATATCGAGACACTTAACGGTGTTAATTTTTTATTTATCAAAATAAATTTTTAACAAAAGAAAAAAATATATTATATTAATTAATATTTTTTATTTGAATTTTGTTTACTCAAAAATCTCGTCTCAATTTTCCTTTATTTTTTTAATGTTTTCTATTATAAGTTACAGTATAATACATTTGTATTCCCAGAGCTGTAGAGAGAACCCTGTCCAGGTGAGGATATACGGTGATGCATCAATTGTTGCTAAAAAATATGCACCAAAAATTTGCAGAGCACCGGGTCGCCATGAGAACTTCAGGCTTGGATGATGCATAGTTCTCAATGACATTGCTTTCAATCTTATTATTTACTAGTACATTTTAATCGATTTTATTTCCACTCGCTTATAAATTTTCAATACACTTGTGGTATCACATGTATATTTTGTTTGCAATTTTAATGAATATATTTGAACTCATTGTGTTTTGGGGTATTCTATTTTTTTGTGTAATTTTTTAACTATATTTGGTCGCTTTTGCTTCTACAACTTCAATATTTATAATTTCCTTGCTTTTTCGACATAATAATTTATCCAGACCACGTCAACCCCTGTTTCAATTTACTCGACAACTTCATTAAGGAAAATAAATGTGGATAAATGCATACAAGTACATAGTATAAATTAAAAAGTAAAAAAATTACTTAGAGACATATATATAAATATCGAAAAATAGCGCATCGCATTGAAAGAAAGACAAAATCCTTACGAGGTTAAACTATTTAATTACTTATGTCCTTAAAACACTATAACACATGTAGAGTGGTGTAGTAGTAAATATAAATTTTAAATAAATAATTTTTGACTGATGTCACCGAATTAATTTTTTTTTTTAATTTTATTTCGACAAATATTGTTAAAAAACTTGAAAATATTTGATATAAATATAAAAAAAAAAATTTAAATATATTAAGAACTTAAGCAATGACTAGCCACCAACAATCTATTTAATTTCCAATAACTATTAATAAGAAAACCTCAAAAAATTGCACTTTTAATATTTTTACACAAAACTTCTTCATATAAAAAATTTTGGATTTTTTTTCAGTTTCCTGAAAACAATCACAAAAATTCTAAACCGAAAAAAATATAGGTATATGCATATTTAAACACTTCCATAAATCCGCACAATATTTTTTATACACTTGCGTTGGGCTTACCCATTTTGTTTAGAATGAAAACAATTTGCTGGAGGAATTGAGGGTAAACCAGTAAATAAACACGCTATTTGCAAACGATCGGATAAGCGCGACGATTGAAACACGTCTCTAGTCCGCGACTTGGAGACCTACTAACTTTGCTAATCGATTTTATTTGTTTTAATAAAACACTTGTCAACTTGACTACTCACAAACCGGTGTGCGCATGCGCAGACTTCACACATTCAAATCATATAATATTATCACAATATTAATACTTAAATACTTATCCACTTGTTGTCAAGAGACTAACACTAGTCACTAAACCCGCGCACGCGATAGATTAGTAACCCAGTTTAGCGATGTTGAGGGTAACAAGAGCTCACCCAAGGCATACCGAATCAGAGCGATAACTGTCACAGACTAACTAAACCATTCGTAACGATTTTGATTTTGCAAAAGTGACTTACCAAAGGCAGCAGCCTACTCAATTCAAATCTCGTCTTCAAGTGTCCACCTTCAATTCGTTACATAAACGGGAGTATCAACAATTGAAACGGTTCAATTTGTAAGCATCGTCACTTGTCGTTGAGTACGTTCTCATGTATGTGTGGAGTATGTAGTTGAATTTGAATACTTTCACCATTTAAATACAATACAATATTGCAATATATAATGTATGAGCTTAGCCGGTTCGATTTGTCTGATATGTTGCCGCAATACATGATTAGATGAATGCAAATACTCATATTTGTGATAAGAGTACTGTGCCCACACCCTGCAGGAAATATAAGAAAATATATTGAAATATATTGAATATTGAAGTTCAAAATATTAATCTGTTTTTAGAAAATGTCTGACGGATGAGAAGGTTTAGGGGGTATACTAGATTAAGAATATGAAAAAAAAATGATTTTTTTCATAACTTGATAGTTTAGATAAATGTTTTCTTAAAAATATTTTTCAAAATTCGAATTATTTTTAATGTTATAGCCACTTTGAGCAGCTTTAAACTCGTTTTTTCGCAACTACTTTTTCGATGGGTCCGTCACGTTATCGCAAGTTCTAGTTTTCGTTATTGCTACATTTTTTAGATGACCACAAGGATAGAATTTTGAAAACGAGGGCAGCGCCTTTGCTTTTTCTCACCTACTTCAAGAACGCTTAACGTGATGTTTTTTTTTAAATTTATTTCGTGTACTCGTAAAATATTAATAATAGATTTCAAATATGTAGCTTGTACCTATTTCGTAGTGTTTTTTGTTACTATATAAATAAATTATTTTTAAAGTATATGTATGTATCTATATATCTATGTGCTAGTTAATATTGTTCGCAGTATGCCAAACATTTCATAAACCTGTTGGCAGTAGAGTCTTGTTTCGAAAGTCATGGTCAAGTGGTCACTTGTAGTGGACTTGAAGCATTTTACAAGTAATTGGTCTAAAATGTGCTGAATTCGAGATAAATTTTCTTACAAAACCGGTGTATTGTGTTACATTTGTGCAACAGATTTTAAAAAATGAACTAATTAAGTTTAAATGAAATTAAATAAAATTTTTGGAGTTACTAAAAAAATTTCTAAGCTTAAAGTAAATCAGAAATCTTTAAGTAATTGAAGTGAGTTTTGAACTTATACGATAAAAAATATATATAATTGATCATTAAAATAATTTTTTGTTGTTACATGTAAGTTTGCCGGGTTTTCTTTAGACCCAAAAAAAGATATGTTACAGGAACTGAGAAAAATACAAAATGGTTTGAAAGTGAAAACATGAAATTTTTTTCCAAGCCTATTGTACCATTTGATCGAATTTGATCCGTATATACAAAAAAGTAGCATTTTCACGTATTTTAATCCACATTTTTATTAACTTTAAAATAGGCTCCTTTTGATTTTTTTGGGTTTTGGGTTCGACTCATATTTTTTGCGCCATTTGTTGCGCTAGATTGTTGGACAGTTTCGACGACATATCCGTAGATAGAGTCGATACATGAGAGATGTTAAGATCCTCCGCTATCGTTTTGATGAACACACGACGATTTTCAAGCATCTTACGCTTTTTCGTTAACTTTTTCAATGTTATCGTCACTAATAAATGGACGACTCGCATGAGGCAAGTTTCGATGACTGCACGAGTTTCACTGAATGCTATGTGCCCTCAAATACTTGTGTTCGTGATAAAGTAGTCTATCCGAAAGACTTCTACAATACTTTCAACGTTTCTGTAGCCCCGATTGCATTGGAAACACAACATTTCAAGCAAACATCGTAAACGAACTTCACACACTTGTGCAGTCCGGGTCATATTTGATCAGATGCTAAATTATAAGAAACAATGTAGAATATTTGATTCTCATGCCGATTACATTACAGTAGAAAAAGCTACCAATTATATTATGAAGTACCTTGGTTCTCTCTCAAAAGTATGCTAACACAAAATTAGCAAGGACTACTAACAGCAGATTGTTGTCCTGTTTAAAATATGAATGCAAAGTGGCAATTTATGAAAAAAATTGTCTATTTTCATATTATTATAATTTTCATGAATCCAACCGTCGAGTTTTGAATGTATTTTAAGCTAAGAATTTCGTATAGTTCCATTTCCAGATTTGCAATTGCCTGTAATACTATTGTCTGGCTGTCAAATTCTTAACGGTAACGGTTAAAAACTTTGATTGAACATGCTGCTTCAACAGTTATAAAATGTTCTATCGTTTTCCCTCAAATTGCTTGATAATTATGTATACAAACTACAAATCCTGAGGTTCTTTGTAGATAATTTTTTCTAGGGATCATCGCCTGAAAATCTGTCAAGAGTTAATGCAGATAGTTCTTATTTTTTATTAATATTAACGCAAATGGCATAACTTGTCTTTCGATGGGCGTACGTACTTCGTAACATGCTTTACTTAAATTCCGCTTAAGTCGACTTAAGCTCTTCAATTATTTCGACGCAATTACAAAGACAAGTATCCTCGCATTTGCATATGTATATGTTTGCAGTCAGTCTGCTAATTAAGAAACTGCGTATTCTCTAATTCAACAAATACAAATTTAATAAAATATGAAACCATAAATGTCTGGTTTTAGCTGGTATAATTGTTTAAAATTACAAATCATCGAATCTATTGAACTTAATCCTTTACGAGTATTTGCGGGGGTTGTTTATGTATAAATATATATTTTTATGTAACTAAATAATAATATTGAACTTTATTTAATTTTATATTTTACTCATCAAGTACATAGCTGTGATAGCTTATTAAAGCTCAGCTGGAGTAGGTGCTCGAGAATGTACAAGTAATGCATTATGCATGTGATATTCGCATGCGCAGCACGTGTGATTGATGACATTTATATGTATATATTGTATAGACATATATACGTAATATACACTTAGGGTGTAGGTACTCGAGCTACGGTTGTCATTTTTAGAAACGATGTTGCAATGATTCCGAATATCGTTTCTGCAACAAATTAAGTTATAATTAGGTTCAACAGACTTTAGAACAACTCTCGGCAGTTAATTTAAATCTAGGATCAGGATAGGATATAGCTGCTATACAAACTGATCGATCAAAATAAGGTCCTTGTATGTAAAAGTTTTTAATTTGACAAGATATTTTCATAAAATATTGCATAGATTATTGTTTAAAATATATATAATATTTGAACATTTATATGATACTGCTATTTTTTAAAATTACAGATGGAATTACATTTATCGAAGTTTATAAAAAAATACTAAATTCCAAACACTAATGGGCATGTTTTTTGCACAATAATGTACACATAATCATATATATGTATGTATATTATAGGTTTCCGACTTCTAAGTGTCTTAAATCCTTAGATTAAATTGGCGCTTTCTACTTACCTTGCAGACTGTGAATTTGGTGCCAATTATTTTCCTGACCATCTCAACATTGTATCACAACTGACCAATGCCATTATTGCGTTGCCTTTATCAAAATCGTACTAAAATGCTTATGTACTTACAAAACACACCTAGGCATATCTAAGTATTTTCATACATATAGTATGGCACATGCAAGTTTACTTAAGCCGGAGTCAACTGAAACTTTCCACATTTAACTCATACCGCTGGCAACAAAAGACGTGAACCCGTACGATCTCAATAAAAAATGTTTATGCCTCCATAATGTCATTGTGGATTTAATATACAAGTATATTTTTGTATGTAAATGTTTCTGGGATAATTCCATCGCAAATGAGTTGATCAACGTTCTTCGAGTTGAGTCAAACACAAGTTGTATTTTTTTTCGTTTTCTTGTGTTGCTTTGGCGATGATTGTTGCCGGTATTATTTAATATATTTGTTGTACTTAAGTATAGTATATAATATAGTAGATGTGAACGGTGTTGACAATGTCGTCTTTCAGTGGCGATTATGGAGAGATGAAACCGATTGAGTTGCTGCACCCAGGCATGCATGTGCAATCGTTTCTATAAATGTCTGTGTGTTTTAGAGATGGTTGCGGCATTAAATATTCATTGTCGATCCCGAAAAAAAATTCGTCGTCTGCGTCCCGATTGATATTAGATGTGTTTATTTCATATTTGTGTCAAAATAATAATTTTAATTTCACATAAAATTTTTTAATCTTTTGAGAAGTCTTAAGTTGTGGTTGTTTCAAGAATATTGATGGATTATAAATTTAAGTCATTATTCTGCATCAGAGCAATTGTCGCAAATGTTCGACAGTAATTTCTCCGTATAAACAGAGCCCACATACATATATATTTAGTGCAAATTGCAAGTACATCCCACTTACGGACTATACATATATACATACATATGCATGTACATTAGGGTGGGTTAAAAAAAAAAAACGAATCCTTCTTCCGTTTGGTACTCTGAAAAATAGGTTTTTAGACACCTCTAAGAAAGTCTCTCCAAGTATGAGCTCTTTATTGTAACAGAGGTCCTCCACCTTACAGTTTTCTATTTTTTTTATTATCGGGTAGAAAAAATCAAATCTCGAAAAAACAATCGACACAAATCTCTAATGTGAGACATTTCAATGTGAACTGGAAGTATTTTATTAACCATATTAGATTGGCGTCAAAATTAGTTAAATAAGACTCAATATTACAGTTAATTATTTTCGTTCGACACGTCTCTGAGTATCTTAAGGGGCACACCTAGTATGATAGCCTAAAAAGGCGATTTTTAGGAATTAAAAATAAATTATCTTAAGTGTATATATTTTAAAAATACACAGTAAAATTTTTAAAGAAAAAAATAAATATATTTCGAGTTTCACGCGTTACAAAAAAGTGCTCCACTGCTGCAAAATTGACGAAATGATGAAAAATTTTTTTGTCGTTTTTGCTCTGCAAAAAAACTGGTAGACCATTGTATGGAATAATATATACAGAATAGGCCAAAAAGTGGTTGATAGTAATTGGATCATGCGTCTTCGACTAATTACATTAACAAATTCGAAAAATACATCATAATCATTTTATAATTTTTGCTTATTTCGAGAACCCTTTAATGAATTTAGCTGGGCGTTCTGGCCTTTCACTAGTCTCCATATCTACAATACAATGATGAACTAGTTTACTTTATAACATCCATTCCATTTATTGTATAATAAAATATTATAGACAACTCGCCATTATACACACGCCCTTAATTATTATAATTTGCACAGTGCTCAGCTGCTCCCATACTTAATTCTGTTTTTTCATCCATTTTTAATTTCTCAGAGCGCTTGTCATTGCTCATATGTACATGTATATGTGTATATCGTAATTAATTAACACAGCTTTTATTTTATTTGATTTTTTGCTTTATTTGTAGTTTCATTCAATATATTTTATCTAAAAACACGTATCTCACACGATCTCAATAAGCACCGCAAAATAAAAACACTTTCATACAAAATACTAATTAAATATTCACTCACACAAACACTCACGCACACAGAGAATCACAATTTTTAATAACAGTATAACATCCATCCCTACTAGTAGTTGCGAAGTTAAGTATGCTATCCGCATTTAAGTCGCAATTTAGAATAAGAATTTACGCGTCTTCACACATTTATGCCTCATCCAAAACGGGCTTAGCTGGGGGCGCCAAAGTTCTTCGCGGTATCAGTAGAACTAAGAAGGCGCAGACATACAAGGCAATACAAGCGGTGTAGAAAGTCAGTTCGCAGTTTTTAGCCAGTATCGCACCCACAATATTAGCGCCCACAACACTGCCCAAGCGGCCGAACATCAGCGAGACGCATATTGCCATGGCACTGTAGGTAAAGTTTTAATTGAAAAATATTTTTAATTAGATGAGAGAAAGTCTTACCGCATTTGTGTGGGATAAAGCTCAACTGTGGCAGCGCCCAAAACATTAATTGCCACGCCTACCAAAAAGAAGAGCACATACAGATACGCTGCAATCGATGGATCGACCACAAAGACTGCAGCAAGGCCACATGAGGTGAAGAAAATTGTTGAAATAACTGTGAATTGTAGACAATTGAAAAATGTTAGTGGTTGTCTAAATTATGAAAAATAAAAGTATAGAATTCGTTTTTAATACTTACAAAGTATGCTTATCTTGCCGACTCGGTTGATTACCAAGCCAATAAAGGCAAACGAGGAAGCGTACAAGATCTCCATGATTAATGAGTAAAAATATGTAGTGTTCTCTAATTTGGCAACGCATTCCATTGTCTGGAAAATGAGTAGTTATAATTAGACATAGGTTTACAAAGGGTCAATTCTATTCGTCTGAGAATCAGATAATGCAATTTCCATGCAAAATTATTCGTAAAGTCCGATAAATACCATAATATCATTTTTGGATTTTTTTGAGATTTTTTAATTAAAATAATCATCGAATTTTGAATTTTTTTTTTTGTAAAAACAATAAAGTTTTTCCAATCTTTATAAATAAATTCGAAACGTGTAACTTTATCGAATTTTTAATGAAAATTTTTTAGGATTAGTTATTGGACTTTGTTATGATCGACCTTTTTTCGTAAAACGCATGACAAGAATAAAAAAGTAGTAATAATTTTCTAGCTCTACGATTAGTTTTGCATAGGATTGGTTGGCAAATGTGAATCAATTTTGTTTTCAATTCCAGATATTTGTACTTACACCATCAGACTTATATAAGCTCTCATGTTTGTCGTACACAATTTGACAGATCTCTTTGTGTTCGCCTGGGTGAGCATTCATGAACTCGACCATAGAATTAATGATGTGCGGGAACCACATGTACATGCCGTTCGTTACCACATACAACCAAAATTGCATATTGCAAACAATCAATGTGACGCGTATGTATTGTTTGTGGAATAATGGCACAGTCTGGTTCCACATGCTCTTCAGAAAAGCGGTGGCAAAGTTCTCCTTCGAAGCCGATTGATTGTTCAGCTGCATCATTGAGCCGGGTGTCTCCTCCTCCGGTAGGATGTGTTTTAACTAAGTAAAATGAAAATAATTATTATTCAAGATCAAACGATAATGCACCTTGACTTACTTTTAGATCTTGAGTGCCACCGTTCCAACGTTGCATTTTTTGCAAGACCTCAATGGCTTTCGCCTCTCTACCGTGCGCCAAGAGGAATTTCGGACTTTCAGGCAAAGCGAACATGGAGAGACCGCAAAGCATGCCGGGTATGCCGCATACGATTAAAAATAAACGCCAAGGCTTATAATCAATGCCCAAGAAAGGCAAGGGCAAGACCCAGTCTTGATTGATGACAAGGAAGGCAATCATTGGCAAGATCATCGCGCCGATCGCGAAGATAAATGAAGAACCCATCATGGCGCGCGAACGTGTCTTATCTGTGTGGAACTCGCCGAGGTAGGCATAAATTGTAGCCGAACCACCAGAGACACTGTAAAAGCGTATAAATAAAAATTAATTACAAAGACTTCTCGTATATATATAACCTAATTTTAAACTTACAAAAATCCATTGATGAAACGCAACAACACCATCACCCAAAATGTGTGCGAAAAACTTGAGAATAATGTGACAATAAAGCCTGCCAACAATGTCGGCCTAATAACCCGTCTACGCCCCTTTGTGTCGGCCAAAAAGCCCCACAGATGTGAGCTTGTTATGATACCAGCAAAACTAATGGCGCTCAAGACGCCTTTATCCTGATTCGTAAGATTTAAGTCACATTGTGCAATTGGCAAAATAAAACCCATAGCTGCCGTCTCCAACAAAACATTGGCCAAAACCATGCCAGAAATGAAGATGAGGAAGTAATTGAATTTACCGAAACCTATGAATGGTGTCAAATTAATATGAATCATAATGGCTGTATTCACATAAATGAATACTAAGCGTCAATGGTACTTACCGGTAAGTGATAAAGCTTCTGAAAATGAAATGGCCCCATGTTTACGATTTACCTTAACGGGTTCTGTATGTATAATTGAAAGTACTGGAATAAGGTGGGAAATTTGTTTGTAAATTAATTTTTTATGTTCGACAAGATCTTTGGATATGGACGTCTTACACATAAGAACATACAGATATGTATGAGTATGCATGTATGCAGTATGGGAGTTTTTGCGATGGGATGAGGATATTGCTGTTGAAGGGCACTTACATAATGCGGTTTAGCTAAAAATTATGTTGTCATTTTAATTTTTTTTTTAATATTTGTTTAGTTTTTTTTTTTTGAGTATTTTCTTCCACATTCATATTTAAACAATTTATTTTTGTTTTATATTTTTTTAATTATTTAAGATAATTTAATTTTATATGTACAAAGTGTGTGATATAAAAAATTAGCTTTGGTTACTATACAAAATCGTAACGGTAAATGTCATGGTGTGCAGTATGTGTGTGCTGTTTTTGTAGTATTTAAATTGAATTCAATTCAACCAATATTCAGTGAATTCAATAACCAAAATAACTTAAATTAATGAATAATTTTAATTAATAGATGTTAAATATTTTTTTTTCTATGAAATACTTATACACAGGCACATACTTGGTTATTATTATTTGCAAAATAAATAAATATAGTACATACTTTTTATTAAAAATATTTCTCTTTTAATAATTACCCCAAAACGCTAAATCAAATACTTATTTTTTAATGAACAATTAAAATAATTATTTAGAGACCATTACACAGTTTTTGTTGTTGTTGAAATTAAAAAAAAATTACGAAATATTTAACTATTAATTAAAATTATATAAATATTCTATAGAATAATCTTACCCATTTTGTTTATATAGTTTTGTATTTGAGTTGACTTTAAATGTTTGCTATTCTAATGAATAATTTCTTTTCTCGAAATTTTCAATTTGTGCATAAACTAATTTATATATAAAAAATAACAATGCTTGTTTTGAGTACTAATTAAACGCTAAATATAAAAGTCTTTCGAATTTTTTGTACTGTCTAACCTTCGCGCCTCTAAGCTACTAATGTCAGTTAAGAAAATAGCCATCTATTTAAACCTTTTCGCCCACTCAATACGAAGTATATGTGAAGGTATATACATACGTAAACAGGTGCATATATACAGAAGCTATCTTGTGCCGCAAATTTAACAACTAAGAAATGTGACATTTTTATGACAGATGTAGACACAAAATTGAATTATTCTACATGCACTTATGTACACACGACAAATAATTGCATATATTTATATCCAAAGGATGATGTGTATTTTCTATACCTTTTGGTTAGATCTTCACTAAGGTATGTATGTACAAGCTGTTAAAGCTGCATAATGTCAGCGTGAAACTTACAGTATCTGTTCATCTAAATATGGTTTCATGGTCAAAATCGCCAGACAAACTTTTCGCGTCGTAAACAAATAGCTACCAATCAAGAAAAAAAAAGTTTATCGATTTAATTTATGCGCCCCTTTTGAATGCACTACTTTCGCGTCAAATTTGATCAGATGGTATTTCTTTGTTAATGAAATTTACAAATATTTATACTTTTAGAAATTCTGAGATATTTTTTACTTTTATGTTTCAAATTTTTTTAAAACATATGCATTTTTGAGAACATACTTAAATATATATATTTTTAAAGTTAAGTAACTAATTTTTGATATACTCTTTATAAAAAATAAAACAAAAAAAACATTTTCAATTTTATTTTATTTAATTTAATTTGCTGAAATAAAAGGTTCCTAGAAATAGTGCGCTATGATCGAAATTCAATAATTCAAGAGAATATATGCTAAACTTACCTAATGAATAATTTCAAGTTTAGACACAAATATTAATTAAAAAGATATCGCAATCTGTATCATATAAAACGGATATTGAAATTTAATTAATTAAATATTACGAACTGCCTTAAGACTATGCACTGAAAATCAGCCAATAAATTTTCAAGAAAATTTAATTTATTTTTTTAAGAGCGAAGACAAGTACATACATACATACATACATATTAAATATTTACTCTCATCTAATTTCAAATTATTATTTCAAATCAATTTTATTTTTATACAGAATTATATTCAAATCTTTTCGTGCCATACATAGTTTTATGCACACATACTGTATATTTATTTCAACCTAAAGGCTAACTCACACAACCAATGCCAAGCCGCATTTGCGTCAGTAAGATCAGTTAATAAGTCGCCGGACGCAAATAATTTTCCAGTACTTATATAAATATATATGTAGGACTTCTAATGTGAGAAGATAGTGGATGTAATTGCGTAATGTTTGCTCCATTTCAGTTACATTGCAATAACAAAACTCGCCGCTTACGCTTTAATTTAATAAATACCAGCAGCTGATCTACGAATACATATGAATTGTTATTTTAATTTTTAAAATTAAAGAGACAAATAACCAAATAAATTAAATCCTAGCAGTAGCAGTATTTCTATGCATTTACATTCATTATGCAGCTCCATAAGTCTCTTTATAACGAATAAGCTCTGGACAAACACAAATGTTATACTTTATAGGCGAAAAGCAGTGGTATTAGGCCTGTTTTGCTGTTTTTACGTATAAATTGCTTTTTTTTTTTAAACCTTAGTTATAAACAGTTACATATATACGAGTACATGCCATGATACAGATGGCACATATACCGTATACCGTTTCCACTTTCCATATTTGTGCTTTTGTCATGTTTTTATTTCGGTAAATAATTATAAATAGCCGTTAGTTTGAAAAGAAAAGTATAGTTAAACCGGCTTCTGTCAGATAAGCGCTTTGTGTAATTTGGGGTTGAAGGTATAAAGCGTGGGAACCCGGTAGATGGTATAAACAATTTTTGTTGTTCGTAAATGAATTATAACTGATTTGATAAGATAACTTTTTACAACAGCGCGTAGTGAAAGTTTCTCATTTTTCATTTCTAGAAGCTTGAGAGTTGCTGTTGGCAGTGTAATTGTTGACACATTTAAATGTTAAAATTTGAAATAGTTTACTTTACATATTTTTTTAACGTTTTCCAGGAATTTTGTCTAGCTTTTTATTAGAAATGTTCTAGGACCAGTTTTGCTAATAATTCAATCAAAAATAATTAAATTAATATTAAATTAACTTTTTTTGTAGTCTCGAAAATCTTAATTAAGAATACTTTTAAAAATTCTAGTTAGAAAATACCGTATTGAAAATTAAGAATAAATTTAAAAAAATGTTAATCCCAAGTTTAAACTTAGAAATTAAAAAAATTGTTTTTGAATTTACATTTTTGCGCTTGCGTACTTCGTGTTCTACCATTTTGAACTATAGCTTGAACAAAGCAATCATCTTCAATACTCTAGAGCAGTGGCCAGTAAGCTAGCACATTCAAACGATTTATATTTTATCAATATTTAATTTTTATTATGGGACAAAAAATTTAATTTTAACAATTTAATTTCGATTTTACAATTGAACAATAAATTTTCAATTTTTAATCCCATAATTAGAATTAAAAACCGAATTTTAATTTAAAATATTCGCAACACTGTTCAGGGTAAGTTCGAATTACAATGGAAACCTTCTATAATGTTATTTGGCCTAGAAAAAGATACATATGTATGTATAAGTTATGGGTTATTGAAGCAACGAAAATCTAAAATTAAATTTTTTATAGAATCTGCAACTTTTGAAATTGACAAGTTATTTGAAAACAAAAATGGCTAGTAAATAATAATAATGCAATACATTTTCCTTTAGTTCATAATTCTCCTGAATATTGTAAAAATTAATTTAAAAGCATTCACAGGCTGCATGCGTAATAGCAGAATATATCTTCCAACAGCAGTAAATAAATAATGTCATTTACGTTCTCTGCTATTATTTATTTATTAACATTCTCTGCTCTGATATATCTGCTGTTAAATTAACATAACCAGAAACTTTTTTAAGCATTCCTACAGGCGCCGCCAAAAATTTGGCATTATTAGAAGCGGAAATGAAATATACATATGTATGTGTATATGTACATATACAGTTATCACAACAGGAAACACATCTATATATATACATATGTACATACACGTATGTAGAACAAAATTCACTTTTATTCTTGAGAATTTAACTTCATTAATAAAGTATCGCATTAAGTATTGAATATTTTTCTGTATTATCACTGAGTCATAAACAAATTAGTATGCAATACAAGACTATAATCTTATAATCTTAATATAATGACTTTGGCTTAATTTATAATAAATTACTTAAATTAAATAACAAATAGTTAAACACAATTTAGATATATAATTTACATATGTATATAATAAATACCAGAGAATGGAAAAAAAGTTAATAATATGCATACAACGGAATAGCACTTGGTCGTATAGAGAATGTTAATACATTTAATAATATCTAATAAATTATTAATGTTCTCTAAAAACACTTGAAAAAGGATATCAAAAATTTATTTTTGTATAAAATTTTATTTAACAGAGTAAAATTATAGATACTGTTTATTGGACGAGCATGTTAATGAACATGTATATTTTTAAAGTCTACATTTCGGCGAACAATAATTGCTTGCAAATAAACGGATTGAAAGCACAAAGTGAAAAACAAAAGTGCACAGACTAACAAAAGGATAAGTGATGGAGTTTTTCACATTAGCTTATCTTTTCAGTAACAAGTATGTACGAGTATGTACGACATTTGTATAATATATTTCATCTATGCTATACATATATTATATTATACATATGTACAGTATATTTGTTATGGCTTATTATAAATAAGTAGTATTTTAAAATTTAGTGTTGAGCATTAATGCAAATGAAATTACCTCTCATTTTATAACATACATTTAGTAGTCGTGGTAGTAGTACAGTAGTTAATTGATAATACGAAATTCGGATTTATTATTTAAATCATGTTATAATAATTATAAATAAATTTTTGCATAAGCTTTTGGTAATTTGAGTTATTTAAAAAAAGGTTTCAATTATAAATAGGCTCATATACATATATAAAACGAAAAACCAAAAGTAAATCGGTTAAACAGTTAACCTGTTATCAACTGATATGTTTTAAATCAAAATGGACTTACGCTCCTATTTTTCTAAAGATATACCTATGTATCGAAATAAAGCTGTACTTTAAATGACAATATTTATTCACTGCTTTTGTAGCTATTAAAAAAATATTTGTGTTTGGAAATATAACTTGCACGTAAAAGGCCGCTGCAATGACAACAAACTTCGACAGATATACATATGTACATACATGCACATATGTATAGAAGGTATGTATGTATGTAAGTACTTAAGCGAACGTCATTTTAAAACATAAACGTGATGTTGACCTACGTATCGCGTATGTATATACAGTATCGGACACATCTACAATACATCTATAAATTTTAAAAGTAGTCTAATAATATGAGTATTTACAACTTTAACGACCAATAGTGTATAAAGTTTCAGCTATTATATATGTACATATGTAAGTATTGTGGTATTCTGCCACACTTAACACTAACAAAGACTACAACATAATAAACATGATTTATGTACTGTAAATATGCTATAAGAATTATATTGTTTTTATTGCATTTAGCAGTTATATTATCATAAACATAACATAACTATCATAAAGTGAAGTGTCATGTTGTGACAAAAAGCCGCTGCCATCGCGAGTATTCACATTACACCGTTATTAATTTGATTTATATCTCCTATTGAAGAGATTGG